CATGCAAATTTGCAAGCTCCAGTCTCAAAAATTAAAATTCAGTGGATCCCAATTTTTAACAACTGTCCCAAGTGATTCTGAGATTCATAGTCTGAGAACCACACATACACTAACCTATGCAAATAAAATTTATTTTACAAATCACATTTTTTAGAAGGAGGCTGCATTATTTATTAATTTTACAAGCTATCTTGACCAAATGTAAGGAAATTTTTTCTTTGTTCCAGCTGTGAGAAGAAATTACCCCCAAAGTCAGTGGCCTAAACCAACAATTTTATTATGTCTCATGATTTTGTGCATCAGAAATTTGAATAGGGGTTGACTGGGTGATTCTTCTGCTCTCACTGTAGTGTCAACTGACATCACTTAAGTTGTAAAGAGCTAGTGAATAGGCTGGTGTGAAGAGTCCAAGATGGCTTCCCTCCATGTGCCTTGGCTGGAAGGCTGGGCTCAACTGGGACTATAGCCTAGAATGCCTATACATAACCTCTCCAGGCTGGAAGCCTCCATTGGGGTTGTAGGGCTCCTTGCATGGCAGCTCAAGGCTCCCAAAGAGTCTTCAAGACACAGGAGGTGGAAGCTTCCATTTCTCAAGGCCTGGGATCAGAAACTGGCACAGTGTCATTTCTGCCATAGTCTACTGGTCAAAGCAGTCACAGAGCCCAAATTCAAAGGAGGACATCATAAACAGGCTGGAGTCACAGGTGTGCAACCCCTTGAAGAACCCCAAGGACACTTGCATAGGGCCCTGACCTCAAAAAGGCCCTGAACTCAAGAGGGCCCCATGTGTTGTTTAAAGCTCTATTGCTGCCACCTTCAAACTCTATAATTTTTGAACAAAGGGCACTACATTTCATTTTCACTGGGTCCCACAAATTATATAGCCTGTCCTCAACATAAACCTCACCTTTCAAGGAGAGATGTGTTAAACAGTCATACACTGCCTGCCAGAGACTTGGTGACTTCATTCCTCACCATAGTTGTGTATTCAAAGTTATCCTTTCAAAATACAGACCGAGGTATGCGAGTTAAATTCAGCATAAGAAGGAAAATGAATTATGAGGTTGCAAAATAGAAAATTCTATGACGTTTTAGGATTAAGAAATATTTTGAAAACCCAACAGACTATTATACTGAATATGGGCTAGAGCCAGTGATGGCGAACCTATGACACACGTGTCAGAGGTGACACGTGAACTCAATTTTTGGTTGATTTTTCTTGTTAAATGGCATTTAAATATATAAAATAAATATCAAAAATATAAGTCTTTGTTTTAATACAGTTGCAAATATCAAAAAATTTCTATATGTGACACGGCACCAGAGTTAAGTTAGGGTTTTTCAAAATGCTGACACGCCCAGCTCAAAAGGTTCGCCATCACTGGACCGTGGTCGGCAAACTGCGGCTTGCAAGCCACACGCGGCTCTTTGGCCCCTTAAGTGTGGCTCTTCCTAAGCCTTAGGAGTACCCTAATTAAGTTAATAACAATGTACCTACCTATATAGTTTAAGTTTAAAAAATTTGGCTCTCAAAAGAAATTTCAATCATTGTATTGATAATTGGCTCTGTTGACTAATGATTTTGCCCACCACTGGGCTAGCAGCCTGTATCTGATCACCTTTGGGCTCACTCACACAGGTTACTTAGGCATTAAACAATAGTTATCCAAAGTCAGCATGCATGTTGAATTTAATCTATACATATTGTCCTTGAGAGAAAGATAGGCAGTAATTACTATATAGGGAAAGAAAGTATCCATGAGCTCAGCAAACCTGGATTTGTGTTTGAGGGTATCTGCAAAGCTATTTAAACATTATTAAGCAAGGCAGTGACAACCCATGCTTTTTGACACCTGTTTGGGTCATCAGTCATTTGCACAACATTATGTTTTCAGCAAGAGCTCAATAAGTGTTGCAGGTGAGGAATCTAAGTAACAAATGGCATAGCAACGACCACAAAACCAAGATTGAGAGAATGCAAATACAATTAATGAAGAACAAGGTCAGGAAAACAGTTTAAGTACAGTGTTTTGCACATAGTAGGTGAGGGCTGTTGAAATAAAATGTTGATGTGGTGAACTCTTGAAAGATAGGGTTATCCAGAATAAGTTACTTAGAGAAAGAAGCTGGACTTTGAAAACAGTGAGGGTTGGCAGAGAGTACTGAAAGGAAATAGAAACCATGCTGGTTTGAGGACAAGAAGAAAATCAGCCTGACAAGGATGGAGGTGGGTACAGGGATGTTGCCAGATAGATGAGAGATGGAAAAAGGAGAGATTCACTGCTTGGGGGCACTCAGTCCCAGGCTGCAGAGTCTGAATTTACTCCACAAACTATGGGGAGTTAGTATAGTTTGTTTGTTATTAGCTTGCAGTTGGCTTATTTACACAAACATCACAATGGAAGTCTTCCGCTGAGGCACATTCCAAAAGAGGTACAAGACTAAGATACAGAATTTTCAAAAGGAGGTGGCCAGAAACCTAGTGGAATGAGCCACATTGAGTGTACAAAACTTGGAAGTCAGAGACCTGAAAGGACGTTATAAAAGAGAGAATTCTTGAGATACCATGATGGTGGGAATGTTTCCCTTTATCCCAGGAAACTACCAGAAGAATCTAATATATTTCTCCTGGACTTTGAAAAACATAATGGCCTGGTCTCTGATTCCTTCCTGAAGAAACTCTTAAAGGGTAAGAGACAGAATGACTAGCTACTTTGATGGAGTTAGAACTGGCCTGCATCTCCAGAGTTCTTTGGGGCAAAGATTGTGTTTCCTATTGTGGTAGATGTCACGATGACTGAAAGACTTGTTCCTCCAGCCACTGGAAGTGATAACAGCAGACAGCCCTTAATGGTCATTCTCCACATGGATTGTTTTGGCTAAAAAGAACTAATACCTGGCTGGTATAGGGGTATAAGGTCGCACTTCCCCCCACACACACACCCCAATTTAGGACAACTTTACAGGGCAATCTCATCTCTGAACTCCCAGATTGGCTGAGGTCTCCATTAAGACTGCAGCAAAGCTCAACTAGTCCCACTGCCCAATTTTGCTTCTTTCCCTTCTTTTCCATAGGTGTTGACCCAAAAGGCACTCCCTAACAAACATCTTGCATGGTTATGTCCATCTCAGAGTCTGCTTTCCAGGAAACCTTGTGCCGAACCAGCACAGCCATGGCATACTCAGCCCCACGTTGGGCACCATATGTGCCAAGCCAGCTCAGCCAGGTTCGGTGAGCCTGAGAGGGGGCGGTGAAGGATTGAGAAAAGACAGACAAGAGAAAAAAGCTGGGTCTGGGTGGGACGCTGGCATGGTCAAGAACAAGATGTTTACAACATTCTTGTGGGTTTCGAATCTATGCAATTGCATGCACCGGAACTCTATCAAGCCCACATCACTCAGCCATGTGGGACCACAGGTTCGGACCATAGGGTCAAGCTTACAACTAGAGCTTTTAGCTATAATTGTGCTGGGAGGGCTTTGCCCTCCAAGCTGGGACTTGCATGTGGCTTTGCCATGAGAGGACTGTGCCCTCTCATTAGTCCGAGGCTTGAACCTGTCCAAACACTGTAGCCGCTCTCCACAAAACCTGACCTGTAACACCTGTGGATCAGACCCTGGGGAAATGAACCAGGTTGGGTGATCTTGGGTTTTCCAAGGGATACCCTGGAGGGATGAACAAACATCAGTAGAGAGGATGCTTAAAATATCAACGGTGCCTGGTGGTGTGGCTCAATGGTTGAGTGTCGACCTATGAACCTGGAGGTCATGTTTGGATTCCCCAACTGGGCACAGGCTCAGGTTGCAGCCTCAACCCCTGGTGGGTGGTGTGCACGAGGCAGCCAATCAATGCTTCTCATCATTGATGTATCTCTCTCTATCTCCCTCTCTCTTCCTCTCTGAAATCAATAAAGATATATTATTTGTCTGGGTCAAGAGAATTGAAGATTAAAGGTATCCAGTTATGAGGGGGAGAGAGATCCTTGAAGAACTCACATAACCATCTAAATTTTAGATTCTAAAAGAAAAGGGCCAGCTTTAAAAAAAAACTGTCCAGAGTCCAGCGCCCAGCAATGTCAATCAAATCGGAGCCTTTCCTGGCCTCTCCTCGGTCCTCTCTCCTAGGGCTCCAAACCCAGATTAGTTGCAAGGAGTTAGAAGGTGGAGGGGCAAGAACACAAGATAGAGTAAGAGAGATGATGCCAATGCTGCCCTTTCTCTGAATGTAAAGTCTAAAACAGTCCCCTGCCTCTTTTTCCCCCTCTTTATAGCACTTAAACCTCTCCCTTCCCCCTATAGTATAACACTCTATCTCCCCGCCCCCTTTATTTGGTGAGGGGCTCCACAGTTTCCCTGATGTGCAGTCTCCATCCAGTGTCAGTTGTTGCAAAAAGTCCAAAACAAAACAACAACAAAAAACACCTCACCTCGTCTAAGGACTGTTCCTGGTGGTCTCGCGCTGTGAAACCTAAACGCTTTTTCTTTGCTGGTACTATGCCTTTCTGGTCAAATCAACTGCTTGCATCCTGAGAGGCACGCAGAGAGAGGCACGCAGCCGGCGCTCCATAAAGTCCCCAGGTTTCCCAGCTGCCTTCCGAGAGGAGCGCTGGGTCAGGGGCGGCCGCCGGACACAACGGCAACTCGGAGACGGAGCAACTGGGAGCCCAGGCCAGCGCTCCCCGGGACGTCGGCGCCCCTGAGGGAGCCTCGAGCCAGGTGGTGGCAGCGGAGGAAAGCCGTGCGTGCGCTCCTCGGCGCAGCTGACGCCCCGCCCCGTCCTAGGCCCCGCCCCTCCTAGACCCCGCCCAATCAGTCCCCGCCCAATCAGTCCCCGCCACTCGCCCGCACCTCCCTATACTACTCTTCTATTGCTCGGCCCTGCCCCGTCTTGATGCCCCGCCCCATCCCGCTAGCCCCGCCCTTCGCCCCACCCCGTCCCTTCCTGCTGCCCCGCCCATTCCAGCTCACCGGTCCCGCCCTGCTCGCTCCGTCCCGCCCCCTCCTGGTACCTGGGTCCGGAGGGCTGCGAGCGCCATGGGGACAGCCTCATCGCTCGTGAGCCCCGCGGGCGGGGAGGTAATCGAGGACACTTACGGGGTGGGCGGAGGCGAGGCCTGCGAGATCCCGGTGGAGGTGAAACCCAAGGCCCGACTGCTGCGCAGCTCGTTCCGCCGGGGCGCGGGAGCGGGAGCCGCGGGGGCCGGGCCCGGGTCGCTGCCCCGCGGGGCGGGCGGCGGCGGACTGCTGGGGGCCAGCTTCAAGTCCACCGGCTCGTCGGTGCCCGAGCTGGAGTACGCGGTGGCTGAGTACGAGCGGCTGAAGAAGGAGTATGAGATCTTCCGGGTCAGCAAGAACCAGGAGTTGCTGTCCATGGGCCGCCGAGAGGCCAAGCTGGACACGGAGAACAAGCGGCTGCGGGCCGAGCTGCAGGTAACGCCGGGCCTGGCGCCCAATGAGGCCCGACAGGACACCTGGCAAAGTGAGGCCCGGGCGGCCTGCCATGGCCGCGAGCCGCCCGGAGACACTGCCAGGTTGGACTCTGGACGCCTGACCTCGTTCCTTGCCCATCCTGTCTCCTTTCCAAACCAGCTAGTTTTGAAAGTTGAGCAGAAACTCCTGTGCATTTTAATTTGAAGGGACATATTCTCTTGCTGTCTAAACTGATTCCTGAACTAATGCCACCCCTTTTCTGTTTCTAGTTCATTCATTCAGTAGCCTTGAGGCCGTTGGCCTGAAAGTGTCAAATGCCAGGCTCCATGAGGCTCTTGGGAAGTAGGTTCACAAGGGGCACACAAGACTTAGATGACATCTGTTGGAGCAACTTGCCAAAGCTTTCCCAGGAGTTTTTAACTCCCCATCCCCCCTAGAATTTTACCTGCCTCCAGGGTGGGGTGTTATGTCTCAGTTTCTTTGTGAAGTTCCATTGCTCTTGGGTTTTAATGACCCTGGAGTGAATTTTCTGGAAGCCCCTGATTTTCATCATCTTAACTGCTGTGGTTGGGGTGTAGTTAAGTTCCCTTAATCCAGTGGTTCTCAACCTTGGCTGAACATTAGAATCACCTGGGAATCTTTTTAAAATCCTGATTTCTGGGCCTGAACATCTGCCTTAATCCATTTAATTTACTAAAAAAAAAAGCAAAAGATTACTTTTCTGTGAACAGAGTTGTGAGACTTTGTGCCATTGGTTTGGGGCCCCTTTGAGAGTTGTGGTTTGTTTACTCTCTTTTTCTTTACTATGGAAGAGACTTCTAGACAGCACAAGTGTTTCTGGGTGCATCATGCTGGGAATTGCACGAATACCTCAGACTGAGTTTTCTAAAAGGAAGAAGCATTCTTCCTCATGCTAGTTAACCCACCCACCCTGCATTCGTTGTCATATAATGAGCACCCTTTTATGGGAAGACATTTATCAGCAGTCTATCTGTTGTCTTATCAGTTTTCCTAATTGGCATTCTTAATACTTGCATATATAAAATGGATGTATGCATTTCAGATATCTGATTCCATGGGTCCAAGCCACTATCCAATAGGCACTGCACATTGAGAATGACTGTGAGATGGAGGTAGAAAAGAAGTCTGGACCAACCAGGGTAGAGTGTAGTAAGGGGTGGACAAATGCCACAGTCTCAGCTTCCTCCTGTTACCAGTCTGATTCCTTATGTAATCCTTTTGATTCCTTTCTCACATATGTAGGCATTAAAAATATTTTTCTGTATTTATTTAAGTCAGACATTAAGTCAGACATTAAGTGAAGGAGGTCTGCAGATAACAAGATGAGTAAGACATGGAGGCAATGAGCACATGGTCTCTTAGAATTACAGAATTATCTTGCAAGTTAAGCTTAGAAATTATACTTTATGTTCTCTTAAAGATCAGGAAACCGAGGTGTAGGATGAAGAGCTGATACAGTAAAGAAAAAATATTTTCCATTGAAAGTGTAATGTTGAAGTGTCTTCATTTACTATAGTTCAAGCATGTTTGCATTGTTTTATTATGTGTTTGAATAAAATGATAATGTGCAGGTCTTGATAACTGGTAAAATTAGTAAATAAGTAGTTAAAATTCTAAGATATGTAATATGTATGTAAGATAATGTAAAATTTGGGAAGAATACTATTTTTTTTAGAAATAACAAGATAAATTATTCCAGGCACTTCAAAAAACTTATCAGAAGATACTTCGGGAAAAGGAGAGTGCTTTAGAAGCCAAATACCAAGCAATGGAAAGGGCAGCTACATTTGAACATGACAGAGATAAAGTTAAAAGGCAATTCAAGGTATTTTTTCCATTTTTATCCTCAAAGTGAAGTGGAGTAAAAACTACATATTTTCAAAGCTCATATAATGCTGCAATGAATACGTAAGATAAGTGATGTAGGAGTCATGAAAGTTAGAAGAACTAGAGTAGAACACTTTTTCCATTTTCTGATAAACTTGAGATAGTTTCAAAAAAAAGGTATAAAAGTGAACATTTTAATAAGATTTTGAAAAAAATGGAGTGTTTCTTTATTGGGGAAGGCATTTGGAAATGTTTGGGGATGTTTTGTATGGGAGGGCATCTTTTTTAAATATATTTTTATTGATTTTAGAGAGGAAGGGAGAGGAAGAGATAGATAGAAAGATCAACTATGAGAGAATAATTGATCGACTGCCTCTTGCATGCCCCCACTAAGGATCGAGCCGTAACCCCAGCATGTGCCCTGACCGGGAATCAAACAGTGACCTCCTGCTTCATAGGCTGATGCTCAACCACTGAGCCATGCCCCATGGGCTGGGAGGGTATGACTATTACTAGCATTTAGTGGAAGTGGGGGGACAGATTTGCTAAATATTAGGCAGAGCACAAGACAGCCCCACACCACAGATGTGCATCTTGCTGGAATTCCAGTGGATTCCAGTTACAAAACAATGAGATGGAGGTACTCAGATTATTTATCCTACAAAAGAAGAGATCAAGGACCAAATGAATGAAAGCTTTGTCCTTAAAAGTTGAAGACACAAGGATTTTTATTATAGAAAAAAAGTTTCAAAATTTAAATTCTTTCAAAGATTTTTAGGGAGACCAAAGAAAATGAAATTCAGGACTTACTGAGAGCCAAGCGAGAGTTGGAGAGCAAACTTCAGAGGCTACAAGCGCAGGGGATCCAAGTATTTGATCCTGGGGAGTCTGATTCAGATGACAACTGTACAGATGTTACTGGTAAATGCATTTCCTACTTATGGTATTTTGAGCTTTCAATATAAGTGTAATGCTATTGTAGAGCCAACTTTGTTTGAATCCTTTTACTTATAAGTGATTGCTGTTATAGAATTGCATTTTCTCTCTGGTTCTCAGCTGTTACAATAGCTCTTTCCCATGAAATCCATGAGTTGGTCAGGGGCTGAGTTTCCTTCTATCTTGTTGCTCTGCCAACTGTAACCCACAGCTTTCCTCTCTAGTCTAAGATAGCTCCTGCAGGTACCACCATCACATCTGCACCTTAGGCAGGGGAAACGGGAATACATTCCCTTCCTTGAAAGCACAATCTGAAAGCTATACAGATTACTCCCACTCAAATTCCATTGGCCAGAACTATGCCTAGAGTGATTGGAAAGTGTAATCATTAATAGGAGACCCCTGTATCCACCTAAAAAGTCTGGGGTTCTTATTAAAGGAAAAAGGGGAAATTGGATATTGGCAGACATGCAGTAGTCTCTGTCACATTATTTTTCCCACATACTAGTAATGATGTATTCTTTGCAACTATCAGCTAGAATGTCTGCATAGTATTTCATCGAGTAGTTTTCAATGCAGTGTTGTGAACTATTTGAAAAGTTTTTATTTTATAATTAAACAAATAAAATGGTTTTTTTTTCTAGAAATAAAGAAAAGCCTGGAATCATAGAATGAAAGGGTCCACCATGTTCCAAGAAAATATTAATAAAGTGTGACTGATATTGGGGAAAAAAAAGGATTCTATTTTAAATGTGGTGGGGAAGTGCAATCACTCTCCCATTTATTAAAAAAATTAATTATGCTCTTACAAATGTTATATTTTGGAGTGAAGTATAGCAACTAACAATTCCCTTTTAATTTGTATTTTAATACCACTGGAATCTGACCAGCATCCTGGAATTTTTATTACTAACTTTTGAGAGGGGAAAAAATGAAGTGATTCTTATTGGCTTAGAGTGACTAAGAAGATTCTTTTATGACCCCACGTTAATCATAGTAGTTATTTCAGTATTGACACATGTTAAAATGTGCAGTGTTTCAAAACTATTCTATTGTTTTTGTCTTGGCAAGTTAATAAAAACAAGTTAATATTTCTTCCTAGGTCTTTCTTCATGTTTTTACTTAAACATGAAGAAAGAATGTCTGAGGGAATGTGACTGACTCATTTGAGACTCAAAGACCTACAAATAATCATCTCAATTTTGCCAGAGATTTAGCCCAACCTCCAGTTTACTTATGGTAAAGGATGCCCTATAGATATTCTGGCAAATATAATTTACATAAAACATCAGCAAGTTCTTAAGTACCTATTGATTCAAACAGTTTTGTTGCTCTGGGAGATTGGAGGATGTATTCTTTACATCCTTAGCTTACAGCCTAATGAATTACCTACATTAATTACTGCTGTGCTAATAATAGTATTCCTTTGAAATTCTTTCCTTGATAACAAATTTTACATTGATACCTAAACCATATAGTTGAAATGTTTTTTAAAATTTTTACTAGTATGTGGGGGTGTTTTTAACCTCTATCTGTTGTTATAATTCCTTTGGTTATTTTATTCTTTTTTGAATTACATTAATTGTGGTGACATTGGTTACTAATATTACATAGGTTTCAAGTGTACAATTCTATGAGATATCATCTGTGTATTGTATTGTATTCTTAATTTTTTTATCTTTCTCTTTTTAATTCTCTTTGAATTTGAGATGATAACCAGAATTATATTAACCTGCAACTTAGAACTTGCCAGAAGTGGATGACGAAGTACTTTAAAAATCATTAAAGTTTGAATATTGGTTGTATTTATAAATTAACAATCCTGTTGAGAATACTAAGTTTTTGAACATTCAGATACAATCTCGTGCTTTAACAGCTGCTGGAACCCAGTGTGAATATTGGCCTGGTGGAGCCTTGGGAAGTGAACCTTCCATAGGGAGTATGATCCAGCTTCAGCAATCCTTCAGGGGCCCAGAGTTCGCACATAGTTCTATAGATGTAGAAGGACCCTTTGCAAACGTCAACAGAGGTAACACACACATTTGCTAATTACCTTAGCTAATGTAGTGACTGTTTATGTACTATAATCTTGTGCTGGGCCAACTACCATCAGCAAAACATGAGATTTGTATACTGGGTGTCTTCCATTGTTAAACCATCAAGTTCTTGCCGTAACCGGTTTGGCTTAGTGGATAGAGCGTCGGCCTGCAGACTGAAAGGTCCCAGGTTCGATTCCGGTCAAAGGCATGTACCTTGGTTGTGGGCACATCTCCAGTGGGAGGTGTGTAGGAGGCAGCTGATCGATGTTTCTCTCTCATCAATGTTTCTAGCTCTCTATCTCTCTCCCTTCCTCTCTGTAAAAAATCAATAAAATATATATATATAAAACAAAACAAAAACCATCATGTTCTGGTGCTGTCACTAACCAAGACTGATGAAGTGACCTTATTCACATCAGGATCAGATGGTGCTCCCTGGCCAGGCTGTCCATTCAGGTTCTAATAACTGAACTTCTGATCTGAATTCTCAGGTAGTTTAGTTGAGCAGTGAGGGTCTAATGTAGATTAACTGAGAAATAGTAGTTTTCAGTCTTTCCCTCTGCATCTTTAATAAGTGTTGAAGGTGAGAGCAGGTTGCAGAGTAGAATACAAAACCTCAGTTATGTAATATAGTATTCTTAGTCAAAAGAATATTTTCATTATTTTTATGTAATTTAGGTCTACAAAACAGCTCTAAGATCTGTTTAGAATTTCAGTACCCATGAAGATCTGAGATGTTATAAGTAGCTCTGCTCTTATTTCTTAAAACTGTAAAATTATTTATCTACTAGAGGCCAGGCTGAGAGATCCACCAGTGCACAAATCCATGCATCAGGCCTCTAGTATGCATATAAGATCTTTGGTTAATCTCTTCCCACCCTCCCCCCTCCCCACTTCTCTTTGAGATTCATTAGTCTGTTCCATGTTTCAATGCCTGTGCATTGAGCGTCTGCCCCCTGGTGGTCTGTGCGCATCATAGCTACCGGTCAAACGGTTGCTTAGGCGCATATATATATGTGTGTGTGTGTGTATATATATATATATATGCAAAATGAAAATCATTTTTTAAATTATGCCATTTGTATTAACCAAATATTTCTTAAAATGTTCTCTCACAGTAAATAGCATATGGTTACTTTTCATTTTATACAATTCTTGAACTTTCTTTTTGACTCATATATTTCAAGAATAATAAGTAGGTAGAACCATAGGACAGCCTGGGAATGTGGGCTCTCCCCAAGTAGCAAACTAATTGAACAGCCCATGTGGCACAGTTGCATGATATTTGACCAGAACCACCAGTACCCCAGCAAAGACCACTGGTGACATTGATTGCTTTAAGCCCCAGAATAGAATTTGACATTGGAAGACTGTTTGCCTCCTAATATGTTATTCCAGAAGCTGTGTTAGTATTAACAAGTGAAATTATATATCCATTCTATGATGCCTATTGTGACTTTCTAAAAATCATCTTGTCAAATGTCTTCTGGTGATTTTTTTTTTCCATTAACTTAAGAGAAATTTTATTTTCAGATGACTGGGATATTGCTGTAGCTAGCTTATTACAAGTTACTCCCTTGTTTTCACATTCTCTATGGAGTAACACTGTCAGATGTTACCTCATTTATACAGATGAAACCCAGCCTGAAATGGATCTTTTTCTTAAGGTAAGGACATTTGTAAATTCTCTATTCACTGATTTAAAGTACAAGTTAATATTGTATCCTATTTCTGATTCTACTACATCTAAACCAAGTAGTTTACTACCTGCTAGATTATATGCCTTAAAGAGCAGGAAGCATTTTAGGCTTTTCTTAAGAGAAAATCTTGCTTAGTATTATCAGTATGTTTAAATTAAGGAACTGTGTGCTTTTGAGTGCTTCATTACACATTCTCCACAATGTTTAAAAACCTTGTTGATAGTACCTGCTTTAGTTAATATCTGTCCACCCAATCTTGAATCTGTTTCAGGTTATAACAAAGTTTAATCCTTGTTATAGTTTCTCATTGCTCAAAGCAGCCGTTAGGGGTAATTTAAGGCAGGGGTCCGCAGACTACAGCCTGTGGGCTAAATTTGGCCTGCTGTCTATTTTTGTATGACCCAGAGCTAAGATTGGTTTTTACATTTTTGAATGGTTGAAAAAAATCCAATGAACAATATTTTTTGACATGTGAAAATTATATGAAATTCAAATTTTCTGAGCTAGGAAACAGCCAAGTTATTAAGCTAATATTATTTTTGTTTTATAGAGAAACTTGCCTTTCTGTTAAAGACTTTTTTATATATTTCTTAAAATTTAAATCAGAAAATATCCCACCTAACCTGTTCTAAAGCATGCTTTTTTAAAGTAGTATAAAACTGACTAGATCTTCAGTTAAATAAGTTGTGCTTTTACATGTTTTAATTTGTTTCTAGGACTATTCACCTAAACTTAAAAGAATGTGTGAGACAATGGGATATTTTTTCCATGCTGTATATTTTCCAATAGATGTTGAAAATCAATACCTCACTGTAAGAAAATGGGAAATTGAGAAGAGTTCATTAGTTATCTTATTCATTCATTTAACTTTACCAAGGTAAACTGAAAATTCTGTAATTTATTATAGGAGTTAACTTACAACTTTTTCGTTTATTTGCAAAGTCTCATGCACCTGACCCATTATTGGAAGCCATGTGTAATAGTATATTTGAGAGTGTTTTATACTAGATTTAAAAATATTAAAGTTATATATGCTTTAAAATTTAATTTAATGCACAATTAAATTTAATGCACTCTCATTGTCTGGTAATAAACATTTTTTAACACTAAGCTGGAAGAGAGCTATAAAAACATCCATTTTTGGAAAGCTTCATTTCTTCTGCAACTGGCCTTCTCTGGCCACTTTTTATTGCAGTAAGCCCCCATTATTGACCCTTAGGTTGATTGACTCTTTGCTGTCACTGTGCAATATAGTAAAAGAAATACTGATTTCCAATCTAGCCTTTTATTGGAAGACTGTGAAGAAGCTTTTCTGAAAAATCCTGAAGGCAAACCACGATTAATTTATCATCGTTTGGAGGATGGGAAAGTCAGTTCCGACTCTGTCCAGCAATTGATTGACCAAGTTGCCAACCTGAACAAGACCAACAAAGCCAAGGTAAAATTCTTAGGGTTGCTTTTTAAGAACATGCTTGGCAGCGGCAAGTACTAGAGCAAAGGCCATGGCGTAGGAGTGGTCTGGCGTTTCGGAGAGAGGAAGGAAGCCAGAGTGGCTGGAGCAGAGGGGGATTAATAGGGAAGATAAGAGGGCACTGATAGTGAAGAACCCTGGAGAACGTTTTAAGGGCCTTGGTTTTTTTCCTTGGAGTGAGATGGGAAGCCATTGGAGGACTTAAAGCAACAGCAGAAGAAATTTTATTCTAGAAGGGTCTCTTAGGCTGCTGGGTGGAGAATGCACTGTGGATTGGGGGATTGTGGGAGAGGTCAGAGTTGGAGACATGTTGCAGTCATCCATGTGGGAGGTGCTGGTGGCTTGGACCAGGGTGATGTAGAGGGAGTGATAGGAAATGGCAGGATTCTGGATAAACTTTGACAGTAGGGTCAATAGATTTCCTGTCAGATTAATTGCAGACTATGAGAGAGGAAAAAATAGCAATCAATATATGGCGAAAAAAATATGGCTTGTGAGTGGACAACTCGGATTCTTTTCTGTGCTTTTCTTTTCCCTCCAACCTTTTTTAATTTTCTTTCTTTTTCTCTTTTCCTTTTCTATCTACTATTGACCAAGGATTAGTGTAAGAAGGAGCCTTTTCATAGTAACCTTTCCTAAGAGCACTGGGAAAAGCAAAAAACTGATGATGAGTGAAGGAGATTTGATCATCCCTAGATTCATGGTGAGATATACTTTAGAATGGAGATTACAGGCTTCGTATGACTGCACACTGAGTTAACTTGGTAGATGTCTATAATGTTAGGAATACAATAGAAAACAACTCTAGGATTTTTAAAAAGTTTTCGGTTCTCATTATTTCAGCCAGAATATAAGATCAAATGTGAATACAAGCATTTTTCTTACATCATGTAGTATTGAAAAGATAGCTTGAGACCAGCATAACATTAAACCAGAGAACCTAAGCCAAAATAAAGTGCTTTTTTATTATAGTTAATCTCCAGAGCCATTTGTTTTTTGTTTGTTTATATTATCACCTTAATCCACTAGGTCTCATAGGAAAAGATATTAATTGATCTTCCTTATCTCTATTCTATTCTATAAATCTTGCTTTTACAAATTAGTATACTATAAGGATAAGTTTATTTTATGAAATTAGGATAAAATAAGATCTCTTTGCCATATTAAAAATGTAAATGTAGGCTAAACTTCCATACCAGTTCACTTGATATGCTTTTTAAAACCAGTGTCTTATTGTAATCTTAACAGACATTATCATTTACTAGCGGCCCGGTGCACAAAATTCATGCACTGGGTGGCGGGGGGGTCCTTCAGCCCGGCCTGCAACGACGGCAGCGTCTCTTGCACCCTGGCCGGCCTCTGGCCAGAGGGCCGCCCGCCCTCCCTCCCTCCCTCCCTCCATGGGCCGGGGCGCATGGGATGCTGGGGCTCGTTGTCTGAGGGCAGATCCAGCCATGCCGGTCGGCCGCTGCTCCCCCCAGTGGGGCTGACAGAACCGGACACTCCAGCGGCGGGACTGAGGGGACTGGATGCCACCATCTTGTGGCTATGGGTGCTGCCATCTTTGTGACAGAGTGATGGTTAATTTGCATATTACCCTTTTATTAGATAGGATTAGTAATACACATATTCTTCACAGATAGGGCATTCTTATATTATTTTTTTAAGAACGATGAAGGGAGAGAGAGAAATATCAGTAAGTTGCCTCCCCCACGTTTTCCTGCCTGGGGTTGAACCCAAAACCTGGGCATGTGTCCTGACCGGGAACCGAATCTGCCACCTTTGGGTATATGGGACGATGCTCCAACCAACTGAACCACACCAGCCAGGGCAATACTCAAAAGACCATTTTATATAGCCAAATACCATTTTGCTTTTTTGTTTTGTAGAATTAGCTTCACTGGCATAAAAATTGATTATGATGTATTTTAAAGGTTATATATATATATTAAGTGGTTATTGCAACATTGTTTTATTACAGCATTGTTCACACTAAATCCCTTGTCTGACCTTGGACAAGTTTAACTTGTCTCAGTTTCCTCTGTGAAATGGAGGTAACCACAGTGTTTCCCTCAGAGGATTGTTGTGAGGATAAATGAGCTGCTATACAGGGAATGTACTTAGTACAGTTCAGTTCGTGACACATAAGCACTATAAAAATGTTTCCCAGCCCCACTTCCTCCTGTTGTTATTGTTTCTTCTTGTTGTTAAACTTCCTTTTTTTTCCAGATCATTGATCACACAGGAGATCCTGCAGAAGGTGTATATAAAACTTACAGTTATGTGGAAAAGATTATTAAACAGGTAAATATACATCTCCTGCAAGATTGCATCTAAAATTTTTAAGACTGTTTTCCATAAATTTGGGTTTTCCAGAGAAAATCACTTGTTTGTTTTCTGAAAACAAGACTCAGAGAGAGTGCCATTGTTTCTGTTGGGAGTTCATCCTGCAGTATCATGTGCTATTACTAGTACCATAAACCTTTACCTCTCATCTGTCTCACAAAGCTATTTGATGCTTCAATACCGTTAAGTGTAAAATGAATTATGAAAGTGCTAACTAAAAAGTATTTAAGAGAAAATGTTCATTCTATTTAATAGTGAATCTCCTCAGATTCTGTGTGCACCTTGAATTTTTTATATTAGAAAAATCCTTCTCAAATTTTTCCACCATATTATTCCTAATAGCAGGGATGAAAATACACCTTTAGAGGTCTGGAGGTATCTGAGCTGAAAGTTTCTATGATATCTCAAGTATTATCTGAAAATTTATGAGAGTTATATATTCTGCTTAATAGTATACATGTGTTTAATTTTAAAATAAAAATCATTTAAAATCATGTATTAGCAAAAATGGTAATAATGATGAAAAGAAAAATAAGCCTTTATCTTTAAGTGAAATGGGCACAAGAGGAAGACATACTATGTTTGGCCTATGGTTGCCCATACTTGCTGAAACCTCCCCCAGAGTACTGGGGACCCTACTTGAGAAGTAAGAGATTAGATTAATTTTAAAAGTGAACCTGCACCGAAACCAGTTTGGCTCAGTGGATAGAGCGTTGGCCTGCGGACTGAAGGGTCCCAGGTTCGATTCCGGTCAAGGGCATGTACCTGGGTTGCGGGCACATCCCCAGTAGGAGATGTGCAGGAGGCAGCTGATCGATGTTTCTCTCTCATCGATGTTTCTAACTCTCTATCCCTCTACCTTCCTCGCTGTAAAAAATCAGTAAAATATATTTTTTTTAAAAAAAGTGAACTTGCATTACAAGTATGGAGATATGTTGTCAGAGAAAAAGTGAGCCCCAAAACATGATGATAAGACTTCTGGCGATGCATTTTGTATAATGTACCTTAGCATAAATAGTGACATTATCGTTTTTGATTTTCTCAACAACAATTTTGAACTTATAAGTTTATTCTTATAGGTACTATACAAAAGGCCATGGTTTGGGGCTTGCCTTCCTTCGTAGGTGAAGCCCACCTTAGACTTGTGTGCTAATGCTGCTGCAAGGTCTTTACACGTTTCATTCATTTTCATGTGCTTGCTCTTGGTGTTCAGGACATCCTAGGCTTTGAGAACACAGACCTGGACACTAAGGATTTGGGCAGTGAAGATTCTATTCCAGAAGAAGACGATTTTGGCGATGTTCTATGGGACATACATGATGAACAAGAGCAAATGGAAACTTTTCAACAGGCTTCAAATTCAGCCCATGAGTTGGGATTTGAGAAAGTAAGTTGGAATACAGTGGGGCCTTGACTTATGAGTGTCCCGACTAACGAGTTTTTTGAGATACCACCTGTCTCTCCACTGATTTTTTGCATTGAGTTGATAGAGTAATTTGAATTAACGAGCTCCTTAACGAGCTCGGTCTCTGAACAAATTAAACTCCTAAGTCAAGGCCCCACTGTATTGTTCCAGCAAAGATCAATCTCCATTTAAAGACTGCATTATGATTGTGTTTTCAGCTAAATATAGTCAAGGTTAATATTTGTGTTAGTGTCTGCCCTCATGGCTTGATTAACTATTTTGAGACATGTGCTTAGGTACATATCATATGAAAGATATGTGACACAAAATATACTTATGAACATCAAACATTTTTAGTTACAGATTAGGATTTATAAACCACATGTTCATTATGCTTCCATCTGCAATTCACCAGATCAAGATTAGGATATCTAGGAAGTTTGATAAAAATAGTAAAGCTATCTATTCTTCCAGTTCTTGGAGAAATCAAAATATCAAGCATTCGGGGGGGATGAGGACACACTTGTAATAACCAATAAAGAAAGTAAAGATTAAAATATATATATATCCAGCATTCAGAAAACAAAGCACAGTAGTTAATGTGAATGGCAGGTCATGCCTTAAATATCTAAAAAAATAACTAACAGAATTTGAAGTACTCAAAGAATCTTAAGTCCAAGTTCAAAAAATTTGGAGTGCTTTTTGAATTAATGTAAGAACAAATATTTTAAAGAATATTGTACAGTTGCTGTCACTAACAGCTATACTTTTATAATTTGAACTGTGTATGTTTATGTCCTAGTTCCACCATTTCCTAACTAGGGATTCTGGTCAAGTTACTTAGTTCTAAACTTGGACTTTTTTGTCTATAAAATAAGAATAATTAATAGTACCTACCACAGGGTTGTTGGGTGGATTAAACCATATAATGCACTTGGCACAGTACCTGGTACTTGAGAAATGTGAAATTGTTATTTTATAAGAGAGCTATTATTATTGCTATTTTGTAAATGAGGAACCTAAGATTCAGATTATGGTTTGCCTAAGAGCACTCAGTGGGTAGATTGTAGATCTGGGCTTTGAACCAAAGACTTTTGGCTCCAAATCCTATGCTCTTTCTTCTATTGCAAGAGGTCTTAATTTGGGAACCATGGGTCTATAAATGGGCTTTATTTAGGACAGTGAACTAAATTGTTAGGATTTGCAATTAAATCAATGAAGCCTTTGCTTCTTCAGAGGCATCATTACTATCAGAATTATTTGAGTTCCTGGAGAATATATTCTGTATTTAGATTTGACAAACAGAAAATTGATTGAGAAACTATACCAGGTAATCATTTATTGTAATTGCTGGAAATTTCTGCTACCCTAAAGCAAGCCACAAGCTACTTAGTACAAATTCCTTTAAATCTTTATCAGCTGTCATTTAGAGCATTGGTAAAATTAATAAACATTTCAGCCCCCAAGATAACTTTGGAATCTCCTTAATAGATACTGAGATATTTTGATTTTCTGAAGGTGTCCTTTTCAGCTCTGAACCAGTTTTTAGTGTCTGAGGAAAGCCTGAGAAATATGGTTCTTGGACTTTGCCTAGAGCTCACTTAATTTCAGAAAGATCTCAGGTGGCCTGTCCTAACCTGATTCTCTGTAGCAACTGGGAGACTTCAAGTCCTCAGATGAAACCTGCTCTTGTTTGGATCTGTCCTCAGAAGCCCTGGAAACTGAGGTGGTCTCTAGAACAGGTGTTTTGACCAGGAGATCGAGGATGCCTGTGGTACCCCCGTCAAGGCCTTCTGTGGTATTTTCTGGGGTTTAGGTTAGTAGAGTGGCCTCCCTGCGGCATTGTGCAAAACATCTGAATTTTGTAAAACCCCGTGGGGATCTTAAGTGTTGTCCCTCCTTCATTATTCATCACAATACTATGTGTATAAGAAATTGGGGCCCATTTGTTGTTTACTACCTTAGGCATATTTAACAAGTCATAAAAATAAGTAATTATGAGGATGCTATTGACTAAAAGTAAATTCCATTTTCTCATGCAACTTTTTACCAATGATTTCAGAGGGTGTTGGCTATATTTACTATTCTAAGAAGCATGTGGTTCCTCACAATTTAAACTAATTTTTGTTTCCAGTATTATGAACGCCTCAATGATCTAGTGGCAGCACCAGCACCAATTCCACCCCTGCTCATATCTGGAGGACCAGGCTCTGGAAAGTCTCTGCTTTTATCAAAGTGGTATGATTCCGTGCAATTAAATTGTTATCATTGTGTCATTTGAATCACCAAATTCATTCAACAAAATGTCTGCCTTCCTGCCTAGTCTGTACTAAACATTAAAAGAGCAAAAAGGAGTGAAATAATAGATTTGTGCCTTGAAGTATACACAATACATATGTTAGAGAGAAGATACAGAATGAGAAAGATATAGGAAATTGAGCATTTGTGATTATGTAGCTAAATGATGTAGGTCAGAGGTAAAGGAGTGCTTTGTAAGGGAGTGGTCAGTATGACATCGAATTAGGTGAATTCTAGAGGGAATGTGCCTTTATTTTCATTTATTGGCTTCATCTTAAAGGTTTTATTGGGATTTTAAATTATGTGAAACAAGACAAAGACTATTTAGAGTGAGATAAGTCATAAAGAATATAAAAATAGACAATAACCTTTAATATGAATGCAAACTAGTTTTTCAAATTATGGACTAAGGTTCATATAAACTAATACATTCTCTTAATCTTATTTCAGTTCATCATCTTATTTAAAGATAATTAGTGAAAATATTTTCTTTCATAATTATTTACATTGAAGAGTTAGCTGACAGGGATCCTCAAACTTTTTAAACAGGGGGCCAGTTCACTGTCCCTCAGACCGTTGGAGGGCCGGACTATAGTTTAAAAAAAACTATGAACAAATTCCTATGCACACTGCACATATCTTATTTTGAAGTAAAAAAACAAAATGGGAACAAATATAATATTTGTATTTGCATGTGGCCCGCGGGCCGTAGTTTGAGGACCCCTGAGTTAGCACATGTTGGTTCTTTTTTATTGCCTTTTATTTAAAGTTATGTTTGAAAAAATACTGTTTTTGTACTTAATAAAAGAAACTTCCTTTTTCCTCTACTACCATACTTGAAACTAGAGGGTAATGCTAATTTTACTAATACTTTAAATTCAAATGTATACTATTTTGGCTTATATTAGTTACTATCAACTTGTAATTATAATGAATCTATAAATTTTAATGGTTAATTTAAAAGGATCTAAAAGTAGAGTAAAAATGGAAACTTCTCATATTTATTCAAAATTGACCATGTGATTGCTGATAAGTAGCATTTGATGTTTAATGCACTGTGAATTCTTTTGTAGTTGACAGTAAAGGAGCTTTATCAGTCTTATAAAAGCTCTTCTTTCAGGATTCAATTACAACAGAAGAATTCCCCTAATACACTAATTCTTTCTCATTTTGTGGGGAGGCCCATGTCAACCAGCTCAGAGTCTTCCTTGATTATTAAACGACTTACTCTAAAGGTATAGTATGCCATCTTTTGGAATTTTCAGAATTTTTATTTAGATTCAGATTTTGTTGGGGCTAAGTACCTGATGATAAACCAATTTTCAGTGATTACCCATTTGTTTTGGTTTTGCATAAGATTAAAAATAATACTCAATACAATTGGTGACTTGGTTTTGGTTCCAAGTGCAGAGATAGACCTATTTCTCACCAGCTGTGATAAAGTACAACTACTTCAGTCTGTGTGCTCTCATCTGGCAGCTGATGCAGCACTCTTGGTCAGTGTCTGCTCTGACCCTGGATCCTGCGAAGCTTCTGGAAGAATTTCCTCGTTGGCTGGAAAAACTCTCTGCGCGTCATCAAGGCAGCATCATCATCATTATTGATTCTATAGATCAAGTTCAGGTACTGTTTTCACTTTGTAACCCATTGATATACTCAGAAAGAGACAAAAGTATCAGTAATAACCATGGCAGGCATTTTATTTATACGTTCGTGAGAAAAAAATATTGACATTGTTTCTTTTATTTCTGCTTAATTTCTAAAGAGGAAGCATGTGGACTTAAAAAAAATACTGTATGCTAGTACCTGCTAATATCTTATTGGGAAAGACCAACCAAATTTTCATAATTAGCAAAAAAATTGTTCATTTTGACATTTTTAGGGCCTGGACTTTTCCTTAAGTGTCCAGACTTTAGATCAGCAGCAGTAGACTTTTGCCACTTGTTCTTCTACTATTCTGAGATAAATCTTCCAAAAATAAGGTTTTATCCTTAACAGTAAGAGAAACTTAAAGAGAATTTTCATTTTATCTGGGGAGCTGTTATGGGTTGTTTTGAAATATTTTGAATTAATAGATTGAATTTTGTTTTTATATTTTTAAGCAAGTTGAAAAACACATGAAATGGCTGATAGATCCCCTGCCAGTGAATGTAAGAGTAATTGTTTCTGTGAATGTAGAAACATGCCCTCCAGCATGGAGGTACGATGCTAACTTTAGTTCTTTCAGATTACATGAAATGTTTTAAGTACAAACAAGGCAAGGTTTTTCATATGTGTTTGTGTTTTTTGTATTTTTTATAAAAGTGGCAGTGAGGATGGGGAGAAGTGGACAATACCAGGATAAATATGCGATCAATAAGGATTTGGTGGGAGGTTAAATCTGGGATGTGAGAGAGGAGAAGGCTGGGATGACTCCCAAATTTCTGACTTGAGAAATTAGAAAATTGAGGGCCTATGAGCTGAATGAGAAGCACAAAGGACAGGCAGGTTTGTTTTCTAACATGGTTAGTTTGAGTTGCCAATTATAAGTTGAGTTGTGATGTCTAGTAGACAAATTTATGGATGAGGAAAATGGGGTAGGGCTGGGCTAAGACACCTGTTATCCTGAAATGCGAGCTCACTTTAACAGCCCTCAAAAAAGGGATGAAGTGGTTGAATTCTGTGGGGCAGTATTTCTCAACATATTTTTGCCCCAAATGGAGCCTTTTTACTAATTATATTCCTTATCACCTCCCTGCCAAGAAATTTAATACCACACATATACTGTACACTGAGTGGCCAGATTATTATGACCACTTGATGTTTGTAGGCAAATTAGCTATGATTTCGCGCTGAAGTTGCTAGAGGGCCAGACCATTATAAATAGGGAAGCAGATTGTTTACCACGACAGTAGAAGTGATTTTTTTCTGAAGATATGGGTAAACAACACGATTTAACAGCCTTTGAATGTGGGATATAATATACGTATATCAGTTTATGCATAGAAACAGATATGCGAATATATTTGTGCCTTATACATCATAAGAATAAGATATTTTCACACACACACCCCAACAAGCAATTGTCATCACTCCACTGAGAATGCATATTGTAAAGGGAATAAATTTCAATTGGATTACAAATTACCTGTGGGCAAAGACTGTGTCTTGTACTATTCCTCATAGGTACTAATACCTATGTTTACGATAGTGTACTTAGAACTAGAAATATTTTACCACTTCACTATCTAAAGTCCATGTTGTTTATTTTAGTACAGTTTTTGTTGTGATTAATAGCTGAAAGTAATGATGTTAGAATAAATGAAATAATGTTACTTAATAGGATTAACAAATTAGTTTTGCTTATTTAATAAAGGCAGTATAAAAAATTAATTTCTGTAGTGGATTTTGACTTGTGGGTAGAGTACAGCTTTGGTGGTATCATTAGAAGATAATTTCATTTTCCTTTTCTTTAAATAAAAGGTTGTGGCCTACACTTCATCTTGATCCTTTAAATCCGAAAGATGCAAAATCTATTATAATTGCAGAGTGCCACTCTGTAGACATTAAATTGAGTAAAGAGCAGGTAAGTGTCTTTAATTGTGCTGCTATCTTTTTCTATTAGCTTTCCATTAAAACACCTTATATGAGACTTAATATTTAATATTTTCTGTTGTTAGAAGGAAAATTGGAGTTTAGTAATTACTGTGTTAAATGCATTTGCTCTTAAACCTATAGCAGATATAGAAGAAGGAATAAAGAAAATTTTGGTCATAGGTTTACTTTACTATATTATATTAAGCAGGTATTTTAACAGCAAAAAAAGCATTTGCATGTCGACTTCACCTGTGGTCCTCGACCACACGGCAGTGATGCTGCTGGTGAGATGGCAGGAACCGTGTCATTCCTGCAGGGATGTTTGTTGATGGCTCGGTAGTAAAGGCCACTTAATTCCAGGGTGGTTTTGTATTTTTGTTTTGTTTTCTGGTAAACTGTGCAGGAGAAGAAGCTAGAACGACATTGTCGTTCTGCTGCAACCTGCAATGCCCTGTATGTCACCCTTTTCGGCAAAATGATTGCATGGTAAGTGGCGATTCTTTTACATGACCTTCTGCATGTTTTATGTTTGCTGCAGACTGCTTCCTCACCGCGTGAAATGGAGAACTGATCACTATGACAATCTCTTGGGCCACTCAGATTCTGTTTATTCTAACAGTGATACTAACAACCTGTGAGAATGTGACTTGTAACTGAAGATCGATAACCTGTGAATTACCATAACTTGTTGAATATGTTTGTGTAATTTTCATCACACTAACCTTTTCCTTACTGGGGGTTGCAAAAGAAGGCCATCTTTGCCCTCGTTTGGAGCCCATCCATGAGTGCTCAAGGTCACCTGCTTAAGACCCCTAGCTTTGGGGAAGTGAGGAGTCAACTGAGGCGTTAAAAATATTACTTCTGGTGCCTTTGCCTATCAGTAGGTAGGTATGTGGGTAGGAATTTGTAGCTGTTTCTGTTATCAAATTTTGATAAATCTTTTACCTTAAAATAAATTATTCCATTTTACATATCCATCAGTAATTTGCTTTTAGATAAGCATTAGAAAGTTTTATTACTTTGATTTCTTCAGTACTGCCTCAGACTATTTGTTTGTCCATTCAAAACCAGAGGTAAAAATGATTTTTTTTTTCATTGCAATAGATAGTAATCCTAGCACAACACATATTCTAGACACTGAACCTGGTACTCTTGTCTCTTAATTCCACATTCTCATCTTAAGAACCAAATGAAAAAAATCTTCTAAAACTTTCACTTGTCCATGATATTTGCACTGTTCCTTCCTGCTTCCCAGTTGAGCAGTGAATCTGGCCTCTGTGCCTATCAGCAGCTTGAATAAGTATAATTCAAGAGTGCGAGTCACTTTCTATACATTTCACAATTTTTATTGAAAGTATCTACTTAAGAGATATTATGGACCACTTGTTTTTGTTTTGATTTTTTTTTCTGTTTAGATATCTTTATATTTAAAAAAGAAACTACTGGTAAATATTGTGTAATAATTTAAAACATCCTCCTCTCCCCCCAGTTTGCTGATTTTCTTTAGCCTGATGTTTTTCAAATTCTGGCTTTAAAAATTTTAATTTGCATGGCTAACTAACTAATAATATTTATTTATAATTATTTTTCTGCTTCTAGTATATAGGTAGCATGCTTCTAGATTATAGGAACCATGTCTTACTCATTCTTATATTCTATAATACATAGTAATTGTTTAAATTTAATAAGAACCAGCATTTGTTTATTGAATTGAATTAAATGATACACTAAAATAAATTTGATGACTCCAGCAGCCCCATAAAACTACCATTTATCTGTATCATGTTTTATTGAATTCCTATTCTTATCAGTTGCAACATAAAATATAGAGACGACATTGTGGTATTTTTTGTTTTTGTTTTTTATTGATTTCAGAGAGGAAGGGAAAGAGAGAGAGAGAAAGAAACATCAGTGATGAGAGAAAAATCATTGATCAGCTGCCTCCTGCACACCCCACACTGGGGATTGAGCCTGCAACCCGGGCATGTGCCCTGACAGGGAATTGAACCATGACCTCCTGGTTCATAGGTCGACACTCAACCACTGAGCCACGCTTGCGGGGCAAGACCACATTGTTTTTAATCTACCCCCAGTTTTTCACAGATGTTGGCAGTCTATAAGAAATTAAATGTATTTTCAATTCCAACAGTGCTGGGAGATCAGGCAATTTAGATAAAATTCTTCATCAGTGTTTCCAGTGTCAAGATACAGTTTCATTATACAGACTTGTTCTGCGATCCATCCAGGAGTCCATGACGAATGATATGGATAAAGAACTCATGAAACAGGTAAAGTGTAGTAAATTCATCAAAGGAAGATTATTTTGCTTTGTTTGCATTTATATGTGAATTAAAGTAAATAGCAAATTTTGGTAAATTTGTGCTCAAATACATTTCAAGCATATACAGGAATGTGTGCTTGTGTCCAGAAGTGATATCTTGGGAAATTTGCATTTTCCTGATTGTCATTGAGATTTTTTTTCTGTTCATGTTCATTAGTTATTCTTATTTCCTGTATGTGACTTCTTTGTTCAAATCCTTTAAACATTTTTTAATTGAGTTGTTCGGATCTATGGGCATTCTTAAGTGTTCTGCATGCTGACTACAAATCCTTTGTTAGAGAGTTTTCAAATGTCTTTTTCCTTATCTTTCCTTGTCTTATCTTTTAACTTTATGGTGTCAAAGTTTTATCAACAGTTGCTTTTATGGGTTATGCCTGTGTATCTTCTTTTCAAAATCCTTTGCTATCATAAAAGTGTTCTCATATATATTTTCCCCTTCAGAATATTTGACAGTTTTGTTCTTCATGTGTAAGCCCTTAATTCATGTTGATTTATTTTTGTTTATTGTATGAGGAAGGAATCTACTTTTTAATCTTTTACTAGTATGTGGCTGTTTTACTAAATAGTACATCTTTTCTACTGATGTAGAATGCTATCTGTTGAGTGTCCAGAATATAGACACATGAGTCCATTTCTAGGCTTTTCTTGTTCCAATTTTGCCTATTCCTTGCCAATACCAGTGTCTTACCTATTAGGACTTTAAAGTGAACTTTAACATTTGGTTGGACAAGCTCCTTGTCAATATTATTCTTAACGATTTTGCTGGCTAATTTCCTGTGTGTATTTTTAGAATTGGTTCAGCAAGTGCCGTGGAAACTTATTTTGGAATTCTTTGGAATTGCATTGAATTTAGAGATAGAGTTAAATAAATTATATGTCTTTCCTCTATGAAAAGCTAAATAATTCTTCATTATTTAGTCATCTTCTTTAATGACTTTCAATAAAGGTCTTACACATCCTTTGTTATGGTTTGTTTCTAAGGACTCTGTAGTTAAAATAATATTTTATTTGTTTTAATTTTTATTAAAGAGTAGTTGGCATACAACAGTATATTAGTTTCTGGTGATTTGACATTTATTTACCTTATGATGTGATCACCACACTAAGTCTAGTAACATTTGTCACCTTGCCAAGTTATTACAATATTATTGACTATAACCTCTGTTAGTCATTCCCGGAGCTTATTTTTTAACTGGAAGTTTATACCTTATTCCCCTTCACCGTTTTTTACCCATTGAGGATATAGAAAAAAGGAAAACCTAATGCACTGTTGATAGGATTGTGAATTGGTGCAGCCACTATAGAAAACATTATGGAGATTCCTCAAAAAATTAAAAGTAGAACTACCATACAACCCAACAATTCCACTTCTGGGTATTTATCTGAAGAAAACAAAAGCACTTTTTATTTGCAGTAGCCAATATATGGAAGCAACCTAGATGTTCATTGATAGATGAATGGATAACGAAGATGTGGTACAGATACACAGGGGAATATTACTCAATAAAAAAGAATGAAATCTTGCTATTTATAACACCACGGATGGAACCAGAGGGTATTATGCTAAGGGAAACATCAACAAAGAAATAAATGAAATAACATTTTAAAATTGTTTGTTATTAGTTAAATTCAGTTTTAATTTCTGAAAACTTATTTTATATTTGGCAACGTTGTTGAACTCTTATAGTTTGAACCTTGATCCATTTTTATGTTAATTTCTCAACTTGGGGGCTCCTGGGGTTTTGCTTTTTCATCTTACTTTCTAGCTCCTAAGTATCCCATGTCTGGGCTAATGTTTTCCTCATGTATCCCTTCCCTGAGGGGACAGCCCTTGGAAGCTTCTGGTGTTGGCAAGCATTCTAGTTCCACCTCTTTGCCTCGTGGGGCATACGGGTTCACCTTCCATCCCCACTGTGGGTGTGAAAACGCAAGCCCTGAAGTTACTGGGGTGGCTGCCTATCCCTCTCCCCACTTTCCCAGGGACAGCACCCCTAGCACTTAGCCCTCTGATTTTCACTTTCCTATCATTTTTGGCACCTGGAGGATTTCCCTTTCTTTCCCCGGCTCCACTGTGCTTTCAGAAATATTTTGTTATATGTCATCTGGCAATATCAGGCGTTTGTAGTAGAAGGGCTATTTTCTTCCACCATTTTCCCAGAATTGGGACTTTGTCATTCGTTTTAATAATACATTTCCTGCAGTTTTAACTTCCACTACAGTTTTTCTATATGTATCTTATCTTTGGCATGCTGTATTTTATATAGACACTATTGTCAACCTTAAAACTAAAGCAACCAGTTATTTTATTAGCAAAATGGGGTTATTCAAGAATGGCAGAGAATTGCAATTGGAAACAAGCAAGCTACGGCAAAACCATAGGCAAGTCCAGATAATGAAGAAGGGCCTGTTTCTATGAGGTTTTAGAAGGAAATTGGCAAGAGTTGTTTTGAACAAAAGTTCATTGGAGAAGAACAAGAGTTCGAGGTGGTGACAGTTCCTATTGGCTGCAAGGGCTGGAAGGGGTCCTCTTTTTTCCTAAAAGCAGGAGATGAAATTCCCATGTGATTAACGCCCTCCCTTGTTAAAATAATTCTCCTCCTTTTTCCTGCTGGTCATGCAGGCTGCAGTGAGTGACAGGTGCATGAGGTGTTCTCCTTTCAGGGCTGCCTGACACTTTAAATCAGTGGTTCTCAACCTTGGCTGCACATTAGAATCACCTGGGAATCTTTTTAAAATCCTGATTTCTGGGCCTCATCCTCCGGAAATTCTGTTTCTTTGTTACTAATGTTGTGGCCCCACCCCATAACAAAGAAACAGAATTTCCGGAGGATGAGGCCCAGAAATCAGGATTTTAAAAAGATTCCCAGGTGATTCTAATGTGCAGCCAAGGTTGAAAACCACTGCTTTCAATGAAATTTCCTTTATTTTCACTCGATCATATTCTTGATTAGTGTATTTTGGGAAGTGTGTTTCATGCTAAAAAATCTGTTTCTTTAGTAAATCATTTGAATTATAAATTTGAATAAGAAATCAATAAGCTTAAAAGAATTGTGGAAATTTTAATGGCAGTTAGTTATGTAAAAAAATACTTTATGATCATTGTTAATATGTTTTTCTGCCTAGATTCTCTGCCTCATAAATGTTAGTCATAATGGTGTGAGTGAATCAGAGTTGATGGAACTCTATCCAGAGATGTCCTGGGCTCTCTTGACCTCCCTTATTCACAGTTTACACAAACTGTGTTTGTTGACTTATGGTTGTGGCTTGCTCAAGTTTCAACATCTACAGGTAAATGTTATTTTAATCAGGTGTTTTTTTTTTTACTTAAAAATGTCAACGTATCATTACATGCTGTATTATGCTATATTATACATTATTTTAAGTGTTTGAATTGTTAGACAAAATTGAAATCTGAAATTTGGTATTATAAATTTTTTTGCAATGATTTTACCTTAGATGTAAAATTTGGCTAGTATTATTATTTTGACTAATAATATTATGTGTAGTATCTTTATGACATGGTTATTACTTTCAAAGTAATTTTGAAAGAGGAAATATATTTTTCCCATTTTGTGATTTATTGAATTGCAGGTATAGTTATATATGTCTTAAGAGCTTGGATTCTGAGTGTCTGTTTACAACCACGCTCTTTACAGCTTAATAGTTATGGAACGATGAGCAAGTTCTTTAAGCCTTGGGCAGACTTTTCCAGCATATCATAGGGGTTGTGAAGAGAATTAATTGAGATAGATCTTGGTCCTTATGAGGTGTTAGACATAATGTCTAGCACATAGTAGTAAATGTTTAGGAAAGAGTTACTAATATAATTCTTATCTGCAATGCCATGGTTAATATATATATATATATATATATATATATATATATATATATACACACACACATACATACATATACACACACAAATGGAAATGAAGTCTTTCATTTGGGTATGCTGTATTATATTTGTAGGTGTGAAATGTTTATAACTTCACAGGCTTATCTTTCTCCTTTATTGTTATTCTTTTTAGTACTTCTTAAATCCACATCTTTAAGACTTTTTTTTTATTGAAGTAAAATTGACATACAACATTGTATTAGTTTCAGGTATACAACATAATGATTTACATTTCTGAGATTTTAATGTATGTAATTAAATAAAAGTTTGAAATTGCATTTTGAGTTCTTAAAATATTAGTACAGGAATTTTTATTCTCATATCAGTTTATCACATAAATCCATCCTGAATTTTAAAATATTCTAATGCCATTTCTATTATACAACAGTTAGATTGAAATGATTGTAAATTCTGTTTTAGAAATTTATAGTACAAAATATAGACTGCAGTATTTTTTCTTTTTCTCCCTAGGCTTGGGAAACAGTGAGACTAGAGTACATGGAAGATGCCACCATTATTTCTTCTTATAGGCAGAAGCTAATCAACTACTTCACCATGCAGCTAAGGTATTAGAAGTACCCATATTGTACTCCTATAACTTCTGCTACCCCCTTTACCTCTGTGTCCTTATTTCTCTTTCTTAACTTATAACTTAATGTATAACATTTAATTATTACAAAAAAGATTAAATTCTCTCCCTATCTTGTTAATGTCAAAAGGGCAAAAGATAATTCCATAAGTCTTTTAACACTACTAGTATACTAAAGATGTAAACTTAAGTAAAATCAATTTAGGATCACTTTATTACTTTTATTTTATTCCAGTTAAATAGTTTAAAAATATGAGTGTCTGTGAATACCTTTGTGTCCATTGAGGGTTTTTTTTAAAATAATTCAATTTTAGGAAAATACCTTTAGAGTTTGTTTGGTGTCCCTGATTACAACTATTTATTTTCTTAGTTAGATTGGTAAAGTTTCTGGTTTTAGCAATTAAAGAGTCAGAGACATATGTTAGATACAGCTTTCTTCAGCATCTGTCTGAAGCTTTTGGAAGCGATGTCATGGCAGGAAGGTACTGTTGAGTATTGTCCCTTCTCTTCTATAGTCAGGACCCAGTGACCTGGAGAAGCGCAGATGAACTCCCGTGGCTTTTTCAGCAGCAGGGAAGTAAACAGAGGTTGCACGATTGTCTTCTCAATCTCTTTGTGTCTCAAAACCTTTATAAAAGGTAAGGAACTTATGTGTAGAACATCCTTCCCCAGAAAAACATATTGAAACAGTTGTTCTGCTTAACAAAGAAAAATATAATTTTTAACTTAAAAATTAGTCCAATTTCAGTGCTACCTAAAATATAAAACAGTGTGGGAGGAATTTAAGACAATTTGCAAATTACCATGAGATTTACTTTTTTCCAAGTTAAAAAGTAAAAAGACAGAGTATGGCTGCTTCATAAAATCAGAGCTAGAATGATCTTGAGACAGCTTCATACCTAATCTTGCATTTAAGCAGGTTTGACTAAATCACCTAGAGAGGTGTGGTTTATGATATCTGACTCTCAGGGCCTTCAGAGACCTCAACGTGTCTCTGAGCCCTACAGAGAATCCAACTGGTGTTGAGATTAAAGAAAGGATTACCCTTTAAAAATAAACATATTGTTTTGTCTTTTCTGGTATATTTGAATTTGCCTGTGTCAGAACCACACCTTATGAGCCAGGCTACTGACCTGCTAAGCCTCATGAGGGGATTTTTCTGTCTCACTTAGAAATTTCAACATTTCTCATAACAGCTGCATACTTTTTTTGTTCCTGAGTGAACGCTCAAGTTTCTTTGTTGTACCTTGTAACTTATTTCTTATCTTCATTCCAATTTTTCATGATTCCTTTGAAAGCAGTTTCATTCTTTAGTTTACTAGCTCTCCTGGTTAATATCATCTACAGATAATTAAGCTTACTTTTATTCAATTCCATGATGAAAATACAAAGTAGATATCCTATGACAGTTTGCCTATGTTTCAGTAGTTTCTTCTGTTCTAGTTTCCATCAGTTAAAATAGGTTTTTGGATGAACCCAAATTGATTACATATCATGAAGTGTCTAAAAGGAATCCTAATACATTGCTGTTGATGAGTAACCATAATGATGTTAATGGTAACAGCCCACACTATGGAGTATTTTCTATGTGCCATAATCTCCTACAGTAACACCTGAGGCAGGTAGTGTCCGTGTCCCCTCTCTGCAAAAGAGGAAGTTGAGGCATAGAGGTCAGACATCCTGTTCATGATCACGCAGCTGGGAGCAGTGGACTCAGGTGACAGTCTGAGTCCACAGTGTACCTCACTACACCATACCTGCCTACTAATAAATTGTCAATTACTTGATATGAATTCTGGCGTTTTCACCTGATAATGGCTTTTAAGGTTTGTTTTCCTCTAATTACTGTTATTTGTTCAAACAGAGGACATTTTGCTGAGTTGCTGAGCTACTGGCAGTTTGTGGGCAAAGACAAAAGCGCGATGGCAGCCGAGTACTTCGATTCACTGAAGCAGTATGAGAAAAACTGTGAGGGCGAGGAGAACATGATGTGCTTAGCAGATCTCTATGAAACCCTGGGGCGCTTCCTCAAGGACCTGGGCCTGCTCAGTCAGGTAACTGTAGCAGGAATCACAGCCAGGGTGGGTTTTTCCTATTTACTCTGCTCTCCCTGCAGGAATTAATGCAGCTTTTATTTGCTGTGCTAATCAGATGGTAGATCTTACACTTTCCTACTTTTTACTCACTTCAGTTGACCTTTAATATCTTTTCCCCAGGCTGTGGTACCTTTGCAGAGGTCTCTAGAAATTCGAGAAACAGCTTTGGATCCAGATCACCCAAGAGTAGCTCAGTCCCTTCACCAGTTGGCAAGTGTGTATGTGCAGTGGAAGAAGTTTGGCAACGCAGAGCAACTGTACAAACAGGCATTAGAAATCTCTGAAAATGCCTATGGTGCAGACCATCCACATATTGCTCGTGAACTTGAGGCACTTGCAACTTTGTACCAGAAACAAAATAAGTAAGATTGAGATCACTAATACTCTGGTTTTATGGTGGGGAATTACAGTTCTAAATGTACTCATGTGGTAGGCTTTCTTTTGTGGCGGGGTACCTTTACTTATCCTATATCTTTTTAATGCATCATATTCAAATACTATTTGTTGGTCTGCGCCTTCATGAGGTAAACAAAAAATTAGAACTGTAAGATCCATCTCTATCTGAAGATGAGTAGAGAACAGAGCATGGGGTTTGTAGTCACATAGTTGGGTCGGAATCTGGGCTCCCTCACTGACTGGCTTTGTAACACGGAGTGAATTACTAACACAAGGGCTAAGAACCGTGGCCCCTGGCCAAGTCCAGGTGGCCTCCTGCTTTGTAAACAAGGTTTTACGGGAACACAGCTGCATTGTTTTCATTTACATATTGTCTATGGTTGCCTCCTTGCTTCAGCGGTAGAGTTCATTCAGTAGTTGAGACAGAGACTGCATGGCCCATAAGGCCTAAAGTACTACCTCGCCCTTTATAGACAAAGTTTGCTGGTCGGTGGTATAATAAAAAGTATCTATGAGATACCCACTGAATGGCTCCTTTTCCTCCATCAGAAATCATTTATTTTGCTCCATCATAACTGATACATATTGGAATATTTTTAACTTTAAGAAATCTTGTTCACACAAATTTTGGATGAATTTTACATTTATCTTTGACCAAACGTTAGCCTCTATAGGAGAAGGTGATATAGCAAGCTAAAATTTTAGATTTTCATTTAGATATGTTGTCCTTTAGAGATCCAAAGTGAATTGTATCAGTTAAAAATCTGTTAAATGTCCATTACTTGGAGTATTAGGTCTGTTTTGTTAGGTTCTTTTTTTTTATGAAGGGTTGTGTTAAAGATTTGTAATTCCATGTAACAGTGCTGGTTTTAAGAGCCAGAAATAGCTTTACACTAGGTAAGGAGTGCTTTCATTTCACTGAAATATGTTACTTTGGACATGTTTCTTTTGTTTGACTTTATTTATTTATTTTTTTAAAGATATGAACAAGCTGAACATTTTAGGAAAAAATCCTTTAAGATTCGTCAAAAAGCTACAAGGAGAAAAGGCAACTTGGTAATGAGAGATTTCTTTTGTTTTGTGTTTTGAACAAAGAGGAAGAGAGCATCTCTGACTATCATAATATAGATGCATAAACCTCACAAGTTTTAAGAACTTTATATTTTAAGTGACTTCTAGAAAAGTACTGATTAATATTTTTATTTATTTATGTGTTTAAATATTACTATTACTGAGAGGTACAACTTAGTAGACTCTTAAAAGTAGAATTATATATTGTGTTAATCATTTTGCAGTTTATATGTACATCAAATCATCACACTGTACACCTTAAGCTTACACAGTGTGGTGTGTCAATTATATCTCGAAATTAAAAATTTTTTTAAGTGAAACCTAGTTCATTTGAAGGTTAGACTCTGGATGTAGACTTGAAAGCTGCTTCAATTCTTTTCTTTAAAAGGTTGGAAAAAGGAGTAAAAGTAATTTAGTTAACATTTTATGTTGGATTCAAATGCAAAGAAATTCTTACCCTTGAGAACAAAAAAATTATTTTCACATTTCTAAGTTGCTCATAAAATCTAAATAGAGTTTATTTGTTTTAACTTAAAATGTCATGTGCAATTTTTAACTGAAATGTATTTGACATATAGTACAATATAAATTTAAGGTGTACAATATATTGATTTGATACATTTGTATATTGTAATATGATTGCCATTGAAATGATAGTTAGCACCTCCACCACATCACATAATTATCATTTTTTGTGGGAATAATTATGATCTAGGTCTCTTAGCAAGTTTGATGATTATAATACAGTATTGTTGTCTATATTCATTATACTGTACATTTGATCTCCAAGACTTATTTGTCTACTAGTTGCGAGTGCTACATGCAATTTAAATACTTGACGTTTAAGTGGTTAGCAGTGAGATTGGTAAATATCTGCACGTTAATTCTGTTTCCTGTTCTTTTGAAGCACTTTGGGACTCAGTTCACTTTGCTAAAGTGTCTCATAATCATTTTCACAATTGTTTTTAATGAATTTTGGAATGTGATGCCATGTGGAAATATGTGTATTTTCAATATCCATTAGATTAACTTAGTGTGATATTTAAAATAATTGCGATCTTCCCAAATGGAACAAAAGGTGAAAGGATTTTGTAGAACCCCAGTATATTGTTTCAGAACCAAAGATTGCACTTATTTAGTGATTGCTGTGAATTTCTTGTGTTTGCTCCAGTATGGATTTGCCCTTTTGCGTAGACGGGCCCTACAGTTAGAAGAGCTTACCTTAGGTAAGGACACACCGGACAATGCTCGGACCCTCAATGAACTGGGTGTTCTCTACTATCTTCAGAATAACTTGGAGTGAGTACCGTGGTGTTTTTAATGAAAACAAGTATCCATTTTTCTCTTAGGTGCAAAGGTGTTTTATATTTCTATCAAGTCAAGCTAGAATAAATCAACAGCAATCATGCCAGATTTCATGTATATGTTATGAACATAGCCACACTTAACAAAAACCATGGCATTTTTTCTGCTGTTTTCTTTCACATGGTTTCTTCAGTAACTAAAAAGCTATTTTGTAGCTTCCCTAGTATTTTCTATATGTTTATGAAAAGTGAGTTTGTGTGGCTATCATACACGAGACCTCATAGACTAAAAGAGAATAAAGAAAAGAATGTAGATGGGTGCTAGTTTTCTTCTTCAGTTTAGATGGACATAAAAGACAAAATGATAAATTTATACTTTCTGAAAAAAAAGGGTTTTGAGGCTTCTTTGGATGTCAGAAATATATAACAAATTTGATAATTTGGACATCAAAAAACTAACAAATATTTATTCTACTTCACAAAAAGTTCTTCTATTAAAAATTATTAAGTACTAACCCCAAAGGGATAAAGAGTGAATATCAAAATCTTTTGTTTGAGTTAGGTCTAATTATATATATATTGATTTCAGAGAGGAAGGGAGAGAGAGAGAAACATCAATGATAAGAGAGAATCATTGATTGGCTGCCTCCTACACATCCCCTACTGGGGATCGATCCCACAACCCAGGCATATGCCCGTGGGTGGGATTGAACCCGGGACCCTTCAGTCTGCAGGCCGATGCTCTATCCACTGAGCAAAACCAGCTAGGGCAGATCTAATTATTTTAAAGGTATAAAAAATTTGTTTTGGAAAATATTTATGGGTTCATCTTTTTGGAGAAGTGAAGTGGAGAAATAAGATGTTTCAGGCCCTCACACTATCAGGAAAGCATTTTCATTTTTGGAAAAGAGCAGGAAGGGAAGAGGGCTGGGAAAGAGGGAGGAAGGATTTCGAGCTGAATCCTTCATTTTAACTCTCTTGGATTTAAGAATAAAAGTGCTTCAGTTCTCCAACTAACCAGGACTAGGGATTCTGATTTCTAAAGAATAAGCTGTTTAAACCATTTTGGGGTTTTGCTCATAGGACAGCTGACCAGTTCCTGAAACGTTCCTTAGAAATGAGGGAGCGCGTTCTGGGACCAGATCACCCTGACTGTGCCCAGTCTTTGAATAACCTGGCGGCTCTATGCAATGAAATGAAACAGTATGATAAGGCGGAAGAACTTTATGAAAGAGCTTTAGACATTCGGAGACGAGCGCTAGCTCCTGATCACCCTTCTTTGGCTTACACAGGGAAGCATCTCGCAATCTTGTATAAGAAAATGGTAAGTAATCCCTGGAGTGCTCGCGTGTGTTTTATAATAGTATGGCTATTAAACCATAATTGCCATCAGCAACATCATTTGCCTTTTGATAGATTTTTTTAATGACTTTTTATTGATTTTTAAAGAGAGGAAGGGAGAGGGAGAGAAACATCAGTGTGATGAACATCAATTGGCTGCCTCCTGCACTCCTCCTACCCAAGATCAAGCCTGCAATCTGGGCATGTGCCCTGAGAGGAATCAAACTGGCAACCTTCTGATGCTCGAGACGATACCCAACCAACTTAGCCACACTGGCCAGGGCTGGATAGATTATTTTCTATGAGCTTTTAAATCATAATGATATAGTTTTATAACAAATAGCTGAGTAGTACATTTAAAAATATTATTTCAGACTTAATAAATTAAAGCGCTGGTTTGGTTTTGTTAAAATACATTCTAAATACAAATGCATTCTTCAGCATTCTAATTAAACTTATTCTCATATTACATTTCAGAAGTTCTGAAATTCACCTGTATTGTTTGCTGTGTTAAGCTATCATAAGCATAAATCACCCAATTGTCATGGCTAAAGGAAGAGTTTTTGTAATTGATAAAATGAGCATTTTAATTTCACTTTTTTCTTTGTCTACAGTTAAATGTAATGAACTAAACACCATTCTTTGCCATAGGGTTCTAGCCAGAGTGATGTTTGGAACTTTTATAGCTTTTCTCCAAAAAGTGCCAGAGGAGTTTGCTTTCATTTAGCGCAGTGGTTCTCAACCTTGGCTGCACATTAGAATCACTTAGGAATCTTTTTAAAATCCTGATTTCTGGGCCTCATTCCTTTAGTGGCAATAACAGAACAGCGGTAGGCCGTCTCTACACTTTGCAGGACCCTTTACTGGTCATGCAGGCACGAAGTTGTTTTAGTAAAAAGGCTCCATTGTTGTTATTTCTCCCCAACAAGTAAAAAAGAAATAATTGGAAAAATCTGAAAAGGATTTGGTGGAAAATGAGTTTTTATTTTGATGTCATCTCCAAATTATGTATAGTAGCAAACATATATAGGGTGGGGCAAAAATTTTACATAAATAATTATTAATTGTATTACTTTCCATACAAACAACTATAAACCTACTTTTGTCCCACCCTGTACTTTAATTGTAAGGTTTTTACTTTACCAGAAACAGTGATTAATAATGGGTGATTTTAAAGAGCTTTCTGAATTATCAAACAAAATGTTTTATATTCAATATAACTTTACTTACATATTCTACTAGAGCAGCGGTTCTCAACCTGGGGGTCGAACGACCCTCTCACAGGGGTCACCTAAGACCATCAGAAAACACATATATAATTACATATTGTTTTTGTGATTAATCACTATGCTTTAATTATGTTCAATTTGTAACAATGAAAATACATCCTGCATATCAGATATTTACATTACGATTCATAACAGTAACAACGAAAATAATTTTATGGTTGGGGGTCACCACAACATGAGGAACTGTATTAAAGGGTCACGGCATTAGGAAGGTTGAGAACCACTGTACTAGAGTTTACTATCTAAAAACTTAACCATTAAACTGGGAGGTAATGCTTCTGAATTTTTTTCTCAAAAATTACTTTTTGATACAAAAGTTTGTTGGTGGAAAAGTTCTAATCAGGTAATATTTATTGCTTTAATATTCTTGTTAGATTTCACTTTTGTGTTCTAGGGGAAACTTGACAAAGCTGTACCTTTGTACGAGCTGGCTGTTGAAATCCGGCAGAAATCCTTTGGCCCAAAGCACCCTAGTGTAGCTACTGCCTTGGTGAACTTAGCTGTTCTCTATAGCCAAATGGTAAGTTCCCACACTTTAACTCTTTAAAAATGAAGTGTTTAGGTATGATATAGGTAAACATGAATTAGATGTGGCACAGTAAAATTAATTAGAGGAAATTGAAGGTTATTTATCTACTAATGCTTTCTTTAGTACTTGAGAAATTATTGAAGTCATACTCCTCTTAGTGTAAAGCACTGACTGTTTAGTTCATTGAATAGGCTGTTTTTAAATTCTGGAGACTCCCTACATCTCTCTATCTAATATTATCTTTAAGCTTCAACATTTGCCTGTGATGGGTGAAAAACACGTATGGTACCAACTGGGCGATAAAGAAACACATAAAGTTTGTGTTTATATAATTGGATTAAGGTCAATGGTTACCAACCCAGGTCTAAAGCCAGTTTCTGATTTTCTATTATACTGCTTCTCCCATGATGATTACTTATAAATTAATCTGTTTATCCACGTTTTAGGAGGATATTAACATTTAAAAAGTGCTTATTCAACTTGTCAGCTTAATCTAGAATACATTAATAGTAATTTCATAAACCCAGAGTGTCCAAATGAGTGTTAATTTTTTTAATAAGAAAAAACACATTGAAGCCTTGCCACTGTATGAAAGAGCATTAAAGATTTACGAAGACAGCCTGGGTCGGATGCATCCTCGAGTTGGAGAAACTTTAAAAAATTTAGCTGTGCTCAGGTAAGAATTTTTTCACTTTCCTCATACATCCTAACTACCTTTTAGAACATCTTTTAATTTGACTCATCATGGAACAACAAAAAGATCCTTACTGCTGAATGTTTTTTCTTGGAGGTGGGTTGTTTCTGGTTGGTTTCCTTCAAGAGATACAGTAGTATCTAGAAGTGAAACGAAGGCTACACAATGTATTTTACAGAAGAGTTTATCATGGCAAATAGTGAAGGATGGTTTACATGTACAACCAGCTGGGTCTGCAATAATATGAGCAATTTGCTGTCCTCAGATCTCATTTACCATGAAGTACATGTTGACTTCTGCTCTGTGTTCAACTCAGGACATAGAAAATATCTAATTGCCCTTAGCAATTTCACTGCATCCTTCACAACACAGTCTTAATGGTATCCATGAGATACTGAAATGTCCCTTAGCAGTACAAACAGAAAGGAAAAGAGTTTGGGTGTTCTACTTTTTCTGGTCTGTTTTAGTAAATAAATGCACTGGCGGGGAAATGAGTGATTATTCACTTTTTTGTGGGTTGTTTTTTTTTTTGGAGGAGGGTATCCTATAAGGTCATTTAGAATTGTTAGAAGGTTATATTCTGATTTTAAGAGGTTTTTATTTTCTCTCAAAGCTATGAAGAAGGGGATTTTGAAAAAGCTGCTGAACTGTACAAAAGAGCGATGGAAATAAAAGAAGCAGAAACGTCACTTTTGGGTGGAAAAGCTCCTTCCCGACACTCATCGAGTGGAGATACATTTAGTGTAAAAACAACCCATTCTCCTAATGTTTTCCTTCATCAAGGACAAAGGTAGTAGCAGCAATCACAATTCACTGCAAATGCATATTAGGAGAAAATAATGAAAAAACATTTGGGACATTAGAATTTAAAACTTACTAAAAATGTTTTTAAGAAATTTTATTTTTACTTTGTCTGATTTAAGTGGTATTTGTATTAAATTGTGTTGGGCTACATTGAAGTTTGAGTCATGATTATGTCCGTTTCAGTTAAAAGAATTAACTTCCCAGTTGTGTGGGATCCAGGGCTACAGACGCTAGAATCCTAAGATGCCATGAAGAATGAGTTGGTCTCTATTCAACAAGAGCTGGCAGAGCAGTTATGCAGGGAGTTCAAGAACTACAAGATTCTTTTCATCTCTCATAAGTACTTTACCTCACCATTCCTTATGTTCCTTTTCAGCAGTAGTCTGGCCCAGTTCTCTACCTCAAAGAAAAGTTTCAAGGAATAAAGGGATAATGTTTATGAAAAGTATGAATTGTCTTCTGTAAAATGACTAGTAACAAGAATCTCTGTTACTTTTTTTTTTCTTTCAAATTCTACCTTTTCCTTGAGCAGATTGGGCCAAGTCCTCTGCTTTCTGTGCTCTGTACATTGTATATTATTTGTCTGTGTAGTATATATCTGCATAATCTGAAGTAATTAATGCAACAAATCAAGCTTGTTGGCATTCTTTGGCCTTACCCAAAATATGGACGTGACATTCTCTTCTTTTTTCTTAAATGGCCTAAATCTATCTCTTCATTTATCTCCAACTCAAATTAGTCTGCCTTTTATACTGAAAATTAAATATTTTTTATAGTTTTTGTAAATATTGCCACATTTTGGATATTATTTTGTACCATCCATGTATTTATATACAATAAAATCTTTAATTTTAATACTTGGTAAAAGACATAATAACCATACTCCACTGTTTTAAAATAAAAGTGCAATTTTAAGTTCCCCCTTTTCTACTCAATACAAGAGGGTTATATAACTAAGAAGTACATTACCAAAAGGACTGCATGTTGTTACTACTCGCTGAGTAGTTTGCTCCACTTGAGCTTTGGTGACTGTATAGGCTTTTGGTGATTTTAAGGCCTGGCTACTCACAGGGTGGTCCATGAACCCACCATCTGGAAGCTTGCTAAAAATTCACTCTTGAGATTCTCCCCAGACCTACTAAATCAGAATCAATTTAGCTAGATCCTTGGATGATTCAGGTGCACATAAAAAAGCAATGGTCTAACTCTAAGGCACTACAGTGGTGACTGAAAAGAAATTAGGTAGGGTCTTATAAAGCAAACAGCCTTCTTCCCCCTCTTTTGAGAGACATTCAAGAGGGGGGAAAAAAACCAAATATGACCATAAGACATCTTTCTGAGTTTGCCAGCTATGAAAGGCACAAAGTAATTTAATTTACAAATATACCAAACATTGATTTTATAATTAAGCTACTTAAGAGTTTAAAATTTGATTATTTGGTGATAATAGTAAATTAATACAAGTAATATATTAAATTTAAATGCTAAAACTGCTTTAGAAAATAATTTGAGATCAATGTACTAGAAGAACCTTGAAAAAAGGCAAAACTAGCAAAAGAGTAATATCCATTTAGTAGCAGTAACAAAATTTGGACTTGAAAAAAACAGAAAAATGGAAACTTTTCATAGTCTTCAAGTTAATGTTATGGTAAAGTTATTATGGTAAAAATTCACTAATTATATCTGGGGCGTAATGTCTATTTCAAAAAGTTTAAGTTCAAATATAATTTTTAAAGCTATTTTGATCATACTACTTAATTGTACTACCAGCTCAGATATTTTAATATAGAATGCCTACTTATGAAGAAAAAAATAGCTGGGGCAGACATTTATGTGTATTTGAGGTTCTCAAATTGGAATATTATGTTCACTTTAATATACACCTTCATGATGAAAAAGGTAGCTTTCAACAACTCATAGTTATAAAACTGAATTGCTAGGATCCAAATTATGGTAGTTATAATTAATTTTATTAATAAAACTTTATAGAAAGGAATTTAAAAATGCAATTTGGGAGAGGTCAAAGCTTCGTTAATAAATACTCCTAAATGAGATCAACCAAAGGACTTGTATGCATGCATATAAGCATAACCAATGGATGCAAGACACTGGGGGGGGGGGGGGGGAGGGTGTGAGGGCATGTGCCAGGGTAGGGGAGGCCGGGGGGAGGTCAATAGGGAAAAAAGGAGACATATGTACTACTATTTGTAATACTTTAAACAATAAAATTAAAAATAAATACTCTTAAATGGTTACCTGTGTTGATCAGGGTGTTTATAGGTATTCAGGGACTATTGTTATATGAAGAAACCCATAGTACATATTTTCTTAACTGTATAAAACATTTGAGTACTACCACAAATTCTCATTAACAATGAGGGACGGGATTAAAGTTGAACATATGGTTTGTTTTACTAGACTTTAGAGCCTTTGTGCTAAGGCAATTTTGGGAGCCTGTTTCTCTTTCACATTAGAAACAATAGTGTTAATCTTGTCAAGCACCGTGGGTTTATTTAGTAGTGTGAAATTCAGTAAGGATTAATAATCAGCTGCCTACATACAAGTTTTCATGGCAATCAGATTGTCAAGAGAGCACTCTAGGTTGCAAAAGATACCTGTTACCAGATTTTTTTTTTCTGGTAAAATAATCCAGTAACTATTTTTTAAAAATATGTGTGTTTTTCTTTAATTTCAGAGAGGAAGGGAGAGGGAGAGAGATAGAAACATCAATGATACGAGAAATTCATTGATCGGCTGCCTCCTGCACGCCTCACACTGGGGATTGAGCCCGCAACCCAGGCATGTGCCCTTGACCAGAATCAATCCCAGGAGGTTAAAAAAGGAATGGGATTTAAGAAGACTGGATTTTTTTTTGAAATTCAAACATCTCTAGTAACTAGAAAAGTTAGTTATTTTATAGAGGAATACATTAAATTTTTAAAATATAACAAATGACCTAGCAACTTAAGTTTCAAGGCTAGAAAAACTATCCCTCTGCCTTCCTGACATTATTTTAAACATAAGAATCACAATATAGTCCTAAAATCACAAAACTAATATATTGAACATATTTTTGATCTGTGGGCCTTTCTGAAATAGGTTTTTAGAACTTTATTTTACAAGTGGGAAATGCACTTCTTAATTTTTACTAACATTGTCAGCCTACAAATACAATTTAGACATTCCTATCTTCAAAGCAAAAAATAATAATAATAATCAAAATAGGAGATTAGCAATAATAGCCTACAGATCTTACCTTGGCTTCTGTCTTCCTCCTTCATGACATTGGGAACATGAGTGATATGGGTACTCGCTCAAATAATGGTTACACATGCATGTTTTTATATTGGTCTCCAAACCACTGGAATTTTATTTCAACGAAGGCTCTCTAAGCCTTCGTTATTTATATACAACTCTAGGAAAAAACAGTTTTATCAATTTATGATTTAGAGGTCATGATCTGGAAAAATGATACTCTTCCAGTAAATAAATATTATCAGTCATTTCAGAGGCACTTTAGGCCTCATTAATGCCCTATCCAGGATAAACCCTTTCCAATATTTAATTAGCTGGGGAATCACATTTAAGTGAAATAAAATATTTAAAGGTAACCCATATCATGGGTATAATCTAATCTTAGCCTAAATTTATCCATTACTCCTCAATAAAGTACAGTGATTCCAGGTATATGTCCACAGATGCAATGATTTCCTTGGTCAATGCAGAAATATAATTTGCACTTCCTCAAAGTACCTTTATCTGTCTACCCATGAAAAAAACTTCCTTTTAGTGGCCTGATTTTGAATATATAATCCACAAGTTTACAACTTTTCCACTGACTACATTTCAATTTGTAATCAGGAAACATTTCAGAGAATGTTATTATTTTATAGGTTAACTATTTTAAATTCATTGCTGGCCAAGTTAGGAGTAGTGGGCAGTTCTCTTGTAGAGAACAATTCCAAAACAGTGAGTACATGGCCTGCTAGCTCAAATCAACAGGTTGTACCTCTTGCTCTTTTCCCTGTATTTCAGGACCACATACTGCTTTATTGCCCATGGCCCAAGCCACAAAGGATTACTGGAAAGAAAAGGAATGTGTACAGCATCAAATTGGTCCTTTCTTCCATCCCTCACAAAAGGCCAAAACATTTCAATGGCTAAGGTTTCAATAAAACTTATAATTGCCTAAAATAATCCTTTGAAATTTTCTTACTAGAATGAAACATGAGTTTTAGGAGAGTTATTGATTTAGTTGAGGGTGAGATAACAACAAGCAACAGTAACAGTATTTTCAAAAAGTATAACAATTTAGCAAAGAATACACATCAATTGATGTTGTCCTAAGTTTTGTCAGTTTTAAAATTGACTTTTTTTAATTGCAAAGGAATAGGTTTAAACACAGAAAATAAAATATAGTCCAGTCCATTATCTACATATTCTTCATCTTGGCCATGAGATCTTCCAAGCTTTCACCAGAATCTTCCACTGTTACATCAGGAACAGAATCTTCTTGCTATCAACAAATGAGGGAAACATAGTAAAAAAATAACCTAAATTCTTGATGCTTAGAAATATATAATCAGTAAGCTTTAACCATGTTCAACAAGTTTACAAAGTAAACTTTCTTTAGTATATATACCTTCTAATTTTTAGGAGAGACAAGGTCCTTTACTTTCCACACCTGTCTTTTGATTCACAAGGCAGTAATTTCAATATTCCTGAAATATCTACTAAAGTGGTACTTTTAAATGGTATTGTGGCTAAAACAACTAATTTAGAAATATAATATTTTCATTTAATCAAAATCTATTTGACTTGATCCATTAATAAGTGAACAAAACTATTTTATATTTGTTTTCAAACAGTTAAATTGTGCTGTGCATATGTCCATATTAGCACTGAATATATCTCTTTCAGACATCTTGATGCCTATAGTAAAATATCTAATACAGGAAGTACTGTGCTGGCATTATAAAGGATAAAGATGAAAGATAAACACTTTTTTCATGTTATTTACTTATGGTAAATCAGATTTTAGATGTACCTTTTGGGGAACTGTATAGGCCACTGTAATTCCTTCAGGTAAGTCAGGAACTGGACCTGAAGAATTTTTCAGTTCCTCTTCTGAAACCTCAGACACCAACTCAATACCTGTAGAGTTAAATTGGACCTTATTACAGTTTTTAATGAACTTAAGCAATAACAACTCAAACTTGTATAACATTAATTATGAGATTCCCTCCCATAAAAGATATGTCATATGCTGCCATTTCCATTTATGAAAGGACTCCTACCCCACTCATTGTCTTCATGTATTATCTCTTCCTCTTCTTGAACAACCTCCTTTTTGGGCAGTGCTGCTACCTTTTTCTGTAGAAATCAAACAGTATCAAAGTATTTTTATTCATTCTCAGTTCTCCCAAGCATTAATCAATAATTCAGGCAGGCTTTTTATCCTACCAAAAGCAAAAAAGGACTTTGAACAGAATTTTCATTTGGAGGGATGGTAAATAAAAGTTTAAGGACCCAGAATCCAATTATCTTAAATTCCAAATCTAAATAATTTTTTTTTCTTTTTTTAAGCTATTATCCTATGCAACATGTTCTCTCACACATTCTGACAGACTGGCATATACCTTATATTCTTCCTGCTGTTTCCTGCAATTTCTGTCATCGCACTGAGGATTTGGCTTCATGGACATAGTAGGAAAAAAATCCTGCATTGCATTGTATCCGAGGTAAAAACTAACAGTACCAAATTTTAACAGAAACCTGGAAAAACAAATCAAAGTAGACTTAAATAAATAAAAGGATAAAAATATTTTAAAAATCAGATTTTTAAAAAATTAAATCTTTATTGTTGAAAATATCACATATGGCCTCCTTTCCCCCCCCCATTCTGTAACAAGGAACAAAGAAGACAAATTTATTATCTTGTTTTCAGGGCCTGGCTCATAAAAGATATTTGTTGAATGAAAGCAGGAAAGAAAACTCTTTCATCAGCCATAGAACTCTTTTTTGAAACTCTAATAAAGATAAAATGCTGCCAATTAAACTATGGTTATGTCAACAACTTTAAAAAGCATGCTGATTTTGGAGAGATTAAAATGTGGAAGAATGATATATTAAAAATTCCTGAGACATGATACTAAATCTAACCAATTTAAAATATTTTATATAAAACTTACTATAAGGTTTACAATCTTAAATGTATAGTTCAATACAATTTTACAAATGTATTCACCCATGCAATCACTACCAGATCAAAATATAGAACATTTCCAGTATGCCACATAGCTTTCTGTGCTCCCTGCTGGTCAAATCTGATTCTTTTTAGAAAATCATGTATATAAGATAAACAACAAAAGAAAAAATATTTGCAAATTTATGTTCTTTTTTATTGTTTTTAGAAAAAGAGAAACATCAATCTTTGTTTCATTGGTTGACTCTTGTTTGTTAAGTTTTATTTATTGACTGATTTTTAGAGAGAAAGGAAAGGAGGAGGAGAAAAAGTAACATCGATTTGTTGTTCCACATATTTATGCATTCGCTGGTTGTTTCTTATATGTGCCCTGACAGGGGCTCGAACCTGCAACCTTGGTGTATCAGGATGTCACAATAACTAACTCAGCTAGGGTGTAAATGTATGTTCTTAATATACATCAAGGAAAAACAAAAAATATTTGAGCAAAGAATATGAGCATATAATTCACATAAAAGTACAAGTTGATTAAGTTATCACAAATAACAAAATGGAAAGAGATACCCATTCTTCACCTATTAGATTCACCAAGATTAAAGAGTTTTACAATATCAAATTATATCAAACGTGTGGGTGGACTAGGTACTCCTACACTGTGATGGAAATGTACAATCCCTTTGAAAGAAAAATTTAGTAATATGTCAAAAAAATTTGCATAAGCCCAGAAACTCCACTCCTAAAAATTAAAACTGTACAAAAATTTAGTATACAAAGATATGTGAAAAGCTATTGTTTACAGCATTATTAATAATTTAAAGTCAGTAAGCAGCCTAAATGTCCATCAATAGAGGGCTTATACTATAAATATGACACATAAGAGAGTAATTTATAGCCATGATTTCCCCCTTTTCATATCATTCTATGAAATGTTTTGTTTAGTTTGCACAAGCTATGAAATAGCTCTAGACAGTGCCTTAAGAGTTCTTATGTATGCTTTTTACAATATCTTTGCTGGTAGTGGACACTTCTGATATCAGAGTGCCTCCCTATAGCATGTTGCAGTTTGTTCTTATATTGGAGGTTTAGGAAACATAACTAAGCTTATTAGAGTTGTAACAAAAAATGGCCTGAGAGTGGGAACACTTAAAGGAGTTGTACTTTTAATTAAGTGTGAATTGATTCAAAAACTCTTTGACATTAATTTTAGCTGTAAAGAAACCTTTGTCCTTTTTAGTTATAGTCTAGGAGGTCAATGATTTTCAACCAGTGTGTTGTAATAATCTTTTTTAAATACGTTTTTATTGATTTTAGAGAGAAAGAGGAAAGGGGAGAAAGGAAAAAAAACACCAAAAAACATTGATGAGAGAGAAGCATTGATTGGCTGCCTCCCGCATGCCATCAGCCTGCAACACGGGTATGTGCCCTGACCAGGAATGGAATCGGTGACCTCTTGGTGCACAGGACAACACCCAACCAACTGAGCCACACCGGCCAGGGCTGCAAGAATTTTTAAAACATGCAATAACTGTCCATTTAAATTATGTCTAGTAAGGTATATTACATACAAATTAAAAAGTATATGATATACATAGTATATAAAATAAAAATATATGTATATTTAAAATTAAATTTTAAAAACTAAATTAAATACTTTGCTGGTAGTTCCTATATTTAAAATATTTCATGAAATATATATATATTTTTTATCAAAACAAGACTATTCAGAAAAATTAACCTTCACTCACTTTAACACATTTTGTACCAAGATCCCAGCAACCACGCCCATGGTGGTAGGAAGACTGGCTGCACAAACACCCTCTCGTTTCAGAGTCTTTTCATCAATATTTGCAGCAACTACAAGTGGTGGGGCACACTACATGAAAAAGAATAAAAGAAAATATATTTCAAAGAAAGGGGAAAAGTATGTGTTCCAAGTAGCAGTTAATCATATTCAAAGTCTGTTTTTCTTTGTTTTCTTTGAACTGTAATACATATTCAATGCCCCTAGGAACTCTTGTATTTAGTGAAAAATAACCCAAAATTAATTATACATACCGCAAAACAAGCCGATTCTCCAGGAATTATAAGCTGTATGTGCCCCGAAACTGCATTTTCACTGACCCCAGACTCCATCCATGTTTGTCCAAGTTCATTACAAGCCTTGATAGAAGTAGATAAAAATAAAAGAAAGGACATAAAAGAGCATGATGTAACGTACCATAATTTCTTTTCATGAAAAAGTGGCATTTAACTAAGTGGATTACCATGAATTTTTTAAAATTAATTTTCAGAATAAAAAGTTAAAGTTGTAAATAATGGAATTCCTTGGCAATTGTTACTCTCTGTTTAGGGGAGAGGTCAATGTGGGGAAAAGGAAACATATGTAATACTTTCAACAATAAAGAATTTAAATTTTTAAAAATAATAAATAAAATAAACTGACAGGTAAGCAGTCAATAAATATCTAAATTAAGTCTATTGGATTTCTTATTACATTAATGTAAAACTTCATTTTTCTAAAATTATTTCAGCAACAAAAATGCAAAACTTCATTTGAAAAGCTGAAAATACAATAATTTAATATCGTTCCAATTTTAGTATATGTGCTGCCGAAGCGAGCACAGAAAATACAATAATTTAAAGAAAAGAATTCAGTTTTATTTTTCAGAAACCATGTTTAAAGGCAATTTATATATATTTATATCTTTACTGAAAAATAAAGTAACAAAAGTTAAAACCAAAGCTGACCAAGAGTATTATAAGATATTCATTTATTTTAAAAATTGTACATCACAACTATCTGCTATTTTATAGTTTCCTCTATTGGCATCAGAGAGTAGGATATTGAAACCTATGCCACAATAGCAAGGCTAAGCAGGTACCACAGCCATTAGAAAACATTTCAAAAATAGGCTAAGGGAACATTAAAAATAAGTAAAACACATTATAAAAGGGTTTAGATGCAGAACTATTTTTAGGATGGGAAATATATACTGATAGAAGATACTGAATAGATAAATCCATGAGTGTAACATTTTACACAGTAGGAATACTCACTGTATTTATTGCCATTCGAGCTTCAAAATTATCCACACAGCTAAGAACTAGGTCAACAGGTTTTCCATCTTCTAATCCACCATTACTAGGCAAAGAAAATAAATGTTATTTGAAAAAAATCAGGACACAAAATACACTCTAATTAGACTTTATTTGTTCAGTCACACATTTTCTATTTCAGTAAATGTTTAAGTATAATTATAATATACTAAGTATTTAATATTAAAGATCCAGAGTATTGAGTAACTATTATGAATATAACATCAATGATATTATAGTACTTTTTACACAAGACCTACAAGGATGCAAGTATAAAGTCTGTTTACAAAAGTTACCATTTACCTATTAGCTTTCAGACTTTTATTTAAATGTAATAAGTTAATTGAATACAATTCATTATTTTAGTGGTATCACAAGAGTCTCTGCAGAAAACCACTTTCAGACAGAAATATATTCTAGAACACAAAATGTATAATTGAGGATTCCTTGTTATACTATTATAATAATAGGGATTTTGGGTTAGTTTTTCTTTTGTTGTTACCATTGTATTTTGGACAATATATACTTTTTACTGAGCTCCCAGTATATAAAAATTACACAAAAATTAACTATCCTAAAAACAAAACTATATTTCATTCTACCAATGCATTAAATTAATCATTCGCACATTTTCTATAATACTTGTTTAACTGAGCTGGACATGTGCAAAATATTCATAAGTAAAATTTTACCTTATTCTATCCATGAAATGTTGAAAGTTTTCTACTGTGGTTATGTTATAGTTGTGTACTTCAAAAAGAACATCAGGATTAATGTTCCTAAGAGGGGAAAAAGGAATGATTATAGGAGGAATAGTAAGAGAAAGCAGGAAAAAGTACTAAAGATCATTTAACAGAGATCAGAGAAATGGAATTTAAGCTATTCAAAGAAAATCCTAAGTCCTCTTCTACCTCTTTTGTCCCACATCAAGGACTAAGTTCAAGGACTAGGTTTATAATGTGTAGATTATCAGAAGGCTTACAAAATGTTCCCACAGCCTGTGTACTGAAAATTAAGTCTTATCCCCTCCGTTAGCTACATTTCAGCCTGACAAAAGAGCTCCTTTGTTCCTTATTCAATTCAGTGCATTCAATTTTCTTTGGGCTCACAAAGAAAATTCCTAGAGCAAGGGTCGGCCACTTATGGCCTTTCCATCAAAATTGACCTGCCACCTATTTTTGTAAGGTCTGCAAGCTAATAATGGCTTTTACATATTTAAATGGGTGCAGAAAAGAAAGTCAAAAGAACAACAATCATTTCATGACATGTAAAAAATATATAAAATTTTAACTTCAGAGCCCATAAATAAAGTTTTATTGGAGCATAGCCATGCTCATTTGTTTTTATACTGCCTACAGATGCTATTACACTATAAGTGCATAGCTGAGCAGTTTTGACAGAGACCATACAGCCCTCAAAGCTAAAGTATTTACTATCTAGTCCTATAAAGGAAAAGGTTGCCAACCCAGATCCAAGAGGTAAGACAATTCTTTGCAGAAGTGAAACCTGCATTCCTATAGAGAAAAATTCAGGTCCGTTTATGCATTAGATTAACTCATACCAAATACACAAAGATTTCACTAAATAGAGTCTTTAATTGCTATTCCTCTTACCTCAAAGTATGTTCTGCTGCTTGAACTTTACTTAATCCTGCTTGATGAGGTTGGAAGAAAAGTCTATTCATATTGGCCAGTTCCACCTTGTCATAGTCAAAGAGTAGTAACTAAAATGAAAATAGTGATATTCTGATGAAAAACATAAGAATGAACTAGTGAGTTTTACATTTGATGGGTTTAACAGTTTGGCAGTAATAATAAACTCTGAAACTCTAGATGCCATATATTAACTCATTTAATGACCATATGAGGTAAGTATGTAGATACTATTATCCTCATTTTAGAAAGAACTAGGACATTTGCTCAAAAGCCACTCAGCTAATTTGTAGTGGAAAAGGGATTTGAATTCAAACATTCTCAGTGTAGCATCTGTACCCTAACCACATGCTGTACTGACTCTCTAAATATTTGCTAAGAAATTAATGTTAATTTCATTTCGTTCCTATTTTTGCTAAAAGCCAAGAACCCATTAGATAAATAAAATTTTTCAATAAGATAAATACAAATGCCATAACTTAAAACTATAGTAAAGCATGACTCCTTTTGTGAATATGACACTACATATACAACCATGCCATGGCTAAAGCATTATTCCAAATAGAATTACTAACCAACCACTTAATTCTTGTTTCCTGCTATATATTTAGAAATGACAGTGTTATACACACACACACGCACACACTTTAAAATGGCCAAAAGATCCCATTTCTTATCAGTAAGAACAGGTTGGACCCAAGGATTTCCAAGTTCCCTTCCTTGGTCTAAAATTCTGTGACTTTGTAATACAATTCTTAGCATCCTAAATTTAACAGTAAAAACAAAAATGGTATTTTCTTCTTCTCAATACAGAAACACTAGCCCGACCCATAAAAACAGCATGTAAGTAACCCTTAAAATCTTGGTAGAAAAGATATCACTTATGACCCCTATGATAATTTTCTAACCCTAGAGTCTCCAAAATATGATTTATTTAAGCTCATTCAACAATATTTACTAGATCAGGCCAAGCATTAAGTCTGAGTTTCAGCCTCATTAACTGATTTATGAATAAGTTGCGGGAAATCCTAAATTTGGGGACAATAAGTGTGACTCTGCCACTAATTAGCTCCAGTCATGAATAATAAGTCACTTTCACTTTTTAGGGCTGTATCCTCATCTATAAAATAAAGCAGCTGATATGGATCTGGTAATCCAGGGTGTGCTGGGGATTCCAGAAACTTTCAGGAATAAGACGTGGTCTCTGGGTCTCTAATCTTCCACTTCCCTACTTAACTTCATGAATTACCTTCTTTTTTATCTGTTTTACACATTGGAGAAAGAGTTCTGAAATATGCCTATGTGTAGAACCTTAGCATACAACCTTGAGTGCACACTGGAATCATTTAGGACAGCAGTTCTCAACCTGTGGGTCGCCAACCTGTGGGTCGTGACCCCTTTGGGGGTCGAACGTCCTTTTCACAGGGGTCGCCTAAGACCATCGAAAAACATATATAATTGAGGGAGCAACTAAGATGGCGGCATAGGTAAACACCGGGAAATTATTGCCTCACACAACAATTGAAAATTACCGCAAAGGACTGAGCAAACATCATCCAGAACAACAGGAAGGCTGGCTGAGTGTAAATTCCACAACTAGAAGGAAAGAAAAGCACGCTGAGAGCCAGAGGCGCTGCGGAGGTGAAGTGCAGAGGTACGGCGGCTCGCGCGCGCGAGGAAAGGGGGTGGCGCCTGAGGACGCGGCTGTCTTTTTGAATCACAAGCTCCCCACTGCTCTGAACTCCGGTTCCGGGAAGTCTCTGGGGACCCAGGACTCATACGGGGAGAGGCTGGTCTGTCTGGCAGCGGGCGAACTTGAGGGCGGCTTTCCCTCAGAGGTGCTTGCAGCCGTTACCGGGACACTGAGACGCGCGACTCCGGGCGGAGAATCGGCCATAGCTGCTTTCTCTGCCCTTTGACTCCCTGAGACCCCGCCCCACCCAGGCTGCGGCAGAGGCTTTTGCATGTGAATGTACCTAACTGCAGCCGAACCAGGCAGACCCGGAACTTCCAAGAGAAGGCCCAAGGCCCCGCAGCGGCTTGCATTGCTTCACAGCTGAGCCTCTTCGTGGCTCCTGCTGTGTGGCCTCAGGCAGAGGCTGAATTAGCACCTCCTTAGATCCAGGAGCCACTGTACCCAGTGGTCAGAGGGGGACCATCCAGACTGCAACTCCTCAGATCCATAAGGGACACACTCAGGGAGCAGACTCAGTGAGCACCAAAGCCCCACTGAAGCAAGTCTTGCCCCAGAAGGGTGTCTTCAGCACAGAAGTTCTCCCACTTTAGACACAGCTGATTCTCACAGCCAATTGGCCTGGAGGTCAATTCCTCCCAGTGATTCTACAACAACCAAGGCACCAAGAGTGCACCAAGAGTGTCCACCCCAGGTAACTGGGGAGGCTGAGCTACTGGGCCCTACAGGACACCTGGCGCACAGGGCCACTCTATCAACACAGGGAAGCTGCCAAAATGCAGAGACAAAGAAACAGGTCACAAATGGCAGAAATGGAGGAAAGCAAACGATTGGATATAGAGTTCAAGGCCACGTTTATAAGGTTTTTCAAGAATTTTATGGAAACCGCCGATAAATTTAATGAATCCCTCAATAAGTATAGGGAGACCATGGAGGACATGAAAAAGGACCAACTAGAAATTAAGCATACACTGACTGAAATAAAGAATAATTTACAGAGATCCAGCAGCAGAAAAGAGGATCCCAAGAATCAAGTCAAAGATTTGAAATACAAAGAAACAAAAAATACCCAACCGAAAAAGAAAAAAGAAAAGAGATTCCAAAAATATGAAGACAGTGTAAGGAACCTCTGGGACAACTTCAAGCGTACCAACATCAGAATTATAGGGGTACCAGAAGGAGAGAGAGGGCAAGATATTGAAAACCTTTTTGAAGAAATAATGACAGAAAACTTCCCCTACCTGGTGAAAGAAATGGACTTACAAGTCCAGGAAGCGCAGAGAACCCCAAACAAAAGGAATCCAAGGAGGACCACACCAAGACACATCATAATTAAAATGCCAAGAGCAAAAGATAAAGAGAGAATCTTAAAAGCAGCAAGAGAAAGACAGTCAGTTACCTACAAGGGAGTACCCATACGACTGTCAGCTGATTTCTCAACAGAAACCATGCAGGCCAGAAGAGACTGGCAAGAAATATTCAAAGTGATGAATAGCAAGAACCTGCAACCAAGATTACTTTATCCAGCAAAGCTATCATTCAGAATAGAAGGTCAGATAAAGAGCTTCACGGATAAGAAAAAGCTAAAGGAGTTCATCACCACCAAACCAGCATTATATGAAATGCTGAAAGGTATTCTTTAAGAAGAGGAAGAAGAAAAAGGAACTCTTTTTTTTTTTTTTTTAATTTTTTTTTAATTTTTTTTTTTTAAATATATATTTTATTGATTTTTACAGAGAAGAAGGGAGAGGGATAGAGAGCCAGAAACATCAATGAGAGAGATCGATCAGCTGCCTCCTGCACGCCCCCCATTGGGGATGTGCCCACAACCAAGGTACATGCCCTTGACCGGAATCGAACCTGGGACCCCTCAGTCCGCAGGCCGACGCTCTATCCACTGAGCCAAACCGGTTCGGCGAAAAAGGAACTCTTACCATTTGCCACAGCATGGATGGAACTTGAGAGCGGATAAATACCACAGGATCTCACTCATTTGTGGAATATAATGAACAACATAAGCTGATGAACAAGGACTGATCCAGAGACGGAGAGGCATTGATTGGACTGTCGGGACTTGGAGGGAAGGTAGGGGAGGGTGGGGGTAAGGGGGAAAGATCAACCAAAGGACTTATATGCAAGCATATAGGCCTAACCAATGGACATGGACAACGGGGGGGTGAGGGCATGAGCGGGGGTGGGGGGGTGGGGGGTAGAGGGTAACGTGGGGACAAGGACACATATGTAATATCTTAATCAATAAAAAATATATTAAAAAAAAAAGAAAAAAAAAAAGAAAAACATATAATTACATATTGTTTTTGTGATTAATCACTATGCTTTAATTATGTTCAATTTGTAACAATGAAAATACATCCTGCATATCAGACATTTACATTACGATTCATAACAGTAGCAAAATTACAGTTATGAAGTAGCAGCGAAAATAATTTTATGGTTGGGGGTCACCACAACATGAGGAACTGTATTATAGGGTTGAAACATTAAGAAGGTTGAGAACCACTGATTTAGGAAGTTTTTAAAAAAATACAGATGTCTGGGTCCCATTCCGAGAGATTCTGGTTAACTTTTTATAGGGTGCAGTGTGGACATCCGAATTTTTTAAAACTTCTCAGGTAATTCTAATTACAGCAGTGTCTGATAATCACTGTTCTAGAGATCCTTGCTACTCATAATGTGGCCTGGGCAAGCATTACCTAAAGCTAGTTAGAAATACAGAAGCACTTCCCCAATTTTACTATGCATATGAATCATCTGGCAATCTTGTTGAAATACAGATTCTGATTCAGCATGTCTGGGGTGGGCCTGGGAGTCTTCATTTCTAACAAACTCCCAGATGATGTTGATGCTTCTACTTCAGGGACCTGACTTTGAGTAGCAAAGATGCAGAGATTCTTAAAGTGCCATTCCTGGAATAACATCAGAATCACCTGGGAACTTGTTAAAAATTAAAATTCTTAGATCCACCTGAAACCTACAGGATCAAAACCACTGAGGTAGGGTCTGGCAATCTGTGGTTTAGTAAGCCTTCCAAGGGCTTCTGATGCACACTCAAACCTGAAAACCATGGATTTCCATGATTTGTACTATCCTTGATCAGTCAGCTATAAGCAACTGTTGGCTGGCTTTTGTAAGCCTCTTTACAGACTTTGAAATGTTAATAAACATTTTTAGTATTTTGATGTTGTCTTTTCTATATTGATAAATGAGTGCCAACTTTGAAACCATTTCCCTTTAAAAATTTGGTGCATGGAGTAAACCAACATATTAAAAAATATTGATAAACTTTATGGAAAAGTGCATGCTTTATCAAAATGACAAATTAAAGGGTATACATTGTGGAAAGCTTATGTATTCAAACCACATTTAACATCATGGACTCAAGCTTTATAAGCCTAAGATTGGTAGACTGATACCTAATATAAGGTCACTTCTCCTTCTTATCCACAATCTAAACCAATTTTAGAAAAAAATAAACATATATATATATGTGTGTGTGTGTGTGTGTGTGTGTGTGTGTGTGTGTGTGTGTGTGTATGAATTAAAAAACATCTACATCTGGAACATTCTCCACTTCATTTTCAAACACTTAAATCCAAATTGTTTATATATTACCCCAAACAAAAATGTTCCTGAACACAATTAGGTAGTCCTTGTTTTTAATCAGCAATAATATCAGCTTCCAATTTGGTAGGGTTATGTCTTAACCCCCTCAGGTAGAAAGAAAAATCTGAATAAATACACCATAAATCAATAAACCATCAGTAATGGGGGGGAAGGGGAGATTATAATTTGTACCTGATTTACTCCAGAAGTCAGTTCTCTACATGATAGGCAAAGAGAAATGCTTTTACCTTACCAATGCCACATCTTGTCAGCATTTCAGCAGTCACACTACCAACTCCACCAACACCTACTATTGCTACAGCAAAGGTACGGATTTTCTGTAAAATGCAAAATTATATATGTCTTGGTTAATAAGTCTTCCTCAAAAATTATTTTAATTTATTGAAATCATCTTCAAAAACTTGGAAAGGTTTATCATACCTCATAGTCGCTTACAATTCCCATTCGTTTCAATGCCATCAGGCGGCTTAAAACAAAGAAACAAAAAATGTTTTAAAGGTTACACAATCTTAGTGACATAGGTAAACATACATCACAGAAAACAGACTCCAAAAGTCAATCATTGCTAATCTTTTAAAAGAGGAGAAATCTTTCCATCAGTTCAGTTTTACCAGATGAAACTAAATCAATGGGGCAGCTTTAAGAACACTAATGCCTGAATACACTTCCAGCCCATGCAAAAGATTTTTTAAATTGGAAATAATTTTCCCTCAACATGTCTAAGATATGACTTCAGTGTCTTCTAGCTTCTGGAATTTTATGATGTGCCCTAGTATGAATCTATTTTCATCCACTGTCTGAGTACTTAGTGGACACTAACAAATTGTTTTTCAGTTCTGGGAATTTCCTTGAATTTGATGATTTCCTTGTTTGGTTTGTTTTTCCTGGATATCTTTCTGGAACTCCTATTATTTGGAAGTTGGACCACTTGGACTGGTCCTCTATTCTTACTTCCTTTCTTCTATTTTCCATCATTTTAGTTTCCTACTCTATTATCTGGATTTTTTTTTCAACTTTATTTTCCAATCTTCCTATTGAAATTTTCATTTTTACTATTCTCCATTTTCAAGAATTCTTTTTAACCATCTGAATGGTGTTTTTTTGTTAGCACCTTGTTCCGTTTCATTTACAACACACCATCCCTCATCTAGGGATAATGATGTTGGGGATGTGTTATTTTGTTCTGTTGTGTTTTGTTTTGTTAGGAGCTTCTCTCATCCTTTGTTCTGCTCATATTTAAGAATCAGACATTAATAAAGCAAATATGTGGGCAATGCTTGTTTGACTTTGGGCTTCACCATAAGGTGATCTGGCTGAGCTATTTAGCAGAAACCCACAATATTACTGTCTTTCAGTCTTTCTTCTTGGTTCTATCAGCTTCTCTGGAGAAAAATCTTTCAATTTCCAACCTGAAAGGTGTTTATGGCTGTCCGTTTGGAGGTGTTAAGTGGAAGAGCAAGGCTGGGAGTCATTGCACTCAGTATTGTAAACAAGGACCTGCTTCAATTAATAGAAATCCTGTTTTATTCCCTCCAATGAGTAAATCTCTAGTCTTCTCTTTTGATAGGGAAGAGGCATTAGCATTAGCTCAGCTACAAAAAGTGAAGTAGGAAACCTGGGCTCTGTTTCTTCAACAGATTTTCAATCATATCTTTTTTCTAGCCCTGCCTTAAACCCTTCTAGAAGTACCTGTGCCCAATCCTGAGCCTTTGGGGAAGTCTGTGGTGTAAACTGGATTGCAGGCTTGAGAATCAACTTCTTTAGATCCATTAAATCAGTTATCAGTCATCCATCACTTTTCTATTTCTAAGACTTTGTTACTATAATCTTCAAGTACAGGAACCTAATCACCCTCATTATTAATAGAAACCCTCTGTTTTTTTCAATGGGGATTATTCTTTTATAAAATTCCTTTACTGTCATCTTGGTGGGATTAGGTAGACAAGGATAATCAATGTCTGTGATCAATCTGCCATCTTTACCTTGATGCTGTCTTTAATCTTCATAAATAACCCTAGAAAAATGTATTGCAATCCCCTTTTACAAATGAGAAAAAAGATTCAGGTTAACTTGGCCATGATTAGCTAAATGGCAAACAAGTATTTAGAGCTGAGTTTTTAAACTAGTATTTGAAACCAGGTTTTCTAACTTTAAAACCCCTGCTCCCCTTTCAATTTTCTCCATATGCCTGTAATTATATTCTATAACAGATAATTTTAGTTATTTGATCATTTCACAACCACTGAGTTTCTCAAATTAAAGTAAAAGTTCTTTGAGGGTCAGAGGCTTTCTATTATCTTTCTTTTGTGTCACTTCATGAAATTAAAATGAAGCTGAGCACTTACACACCCCTCTCCTCTAATTTTTGATAACCCTGTACTTTATAATTCCTACTACTCATATTGCAATCCTATGTTTACCTTTCTATATATCTCACACTCACCTGGTAATCTCTGGAGGGAAATGACCATGTCTACTTTGTATCCCCAGTGTCTATGCATAAGGGATATTCAATAAATGGTAGATAATACCATCCAGGAGGCTGGAGATGAAAAGGTGTTCACTAAATACAGTATTTGCTAAACAAACAATTCAAAAAATTAAGGCTGACATTGATCAAACACCCACGTACTAGTGAAGAGCTTTGGGTGACAACTGCCATTTCTTACGCAGCCGTTTTAATAAAGACAAAAGGTGCAAATAAGAAAATACTAAATGTTTAGATTGGAGTTCTGAAAGTCTGTGATTATTACAATGTCAACAGGTGGTCTCATGTTAAAACAATGTCTGAAAGATGAATCTAAATATATCATCTACATCGTTTTGCTTTTCATTCTTGGACGGAATGTTTCAAAACCTTCATTTGTAAAATTAGAAAATGTTGAAGGATGCCGAAGGGAATAGTTTCCACTCGTTCTGGTTAGAGATGTCAGTTCATGCTGACTCAAAACTCTTAAAAATGTTGGATCATAAACTCTTCCTGTTTGGCAACACAGTGAAAACACACGCACCCTCCTTAAAGAAAAAAAAGGGCAACACCACCACCTTTCTCACCTACTTTAAAAACTATCCAATTTTTTTTAGCCACACTACTCAGTGGCTTATTTCTTTTTAATGGGGGGCAGTTCCATGGGAACTTGGACCAGGCCAGGCCTTTCTATGCACCACTAGTCCCATGACCCGAGGCAAGTCCCAGCAGCTCTCCAAGCCTCGATGCCCTCCCCTATAAAAAGGAGGTAAGCGCCCGCCCGCTGTGGCTCAGCGGGTAGAGCATCGGCCTGCGGACTGAAGGGTCCCAGGTTCGAGTCCCGATCGGGGCGCATGCCCGGGTAGCGGGCTCGATCCCCAGTAGGGGGCGTGCAGGAAGCAGCCGATCCATGACTCTCTCTCATCATGGATGTTTCTCTCTCTCTCTCTCCCTCCTCCTTAAAAAAAAAAAAAAAGAAGGTAAAATCACAGCAGCCATCTCCTAGGGTGGTGGGGAGGAGGGCAATGCATGCGTGACAACGCATGCAAAGCGCTTAGCTTAGCAGGTGGTGAAAGCTGACCCAATGTCAGCGTGGGTCCTGAACAGTCAAGTCTTGTATCGAAGCTTCGCATGTGCAAGCCGGTCTAAGAATTGCACATACGCTGAGGTTCCCAGTGCCCACATACTCTCCCCTCGCCCGGGGTTCCTCCGCAGCTGGGAGCGGGGATGGGAAGCCAGTGAGGCGGACTCTGCAGCCCTCCCCCCCCCCCCCCCCCCCGTCCCCACCTCGCCATGTGCACGCCTTCTTAGGACGGAGAAAGGAATCGGAGGCAGAGCTGCTCAAACCCAATGGCTTTGAGCTAACCGAGCTCGGCCCACCACGCCCCCGATGGAGGAGCTTGTGTGAGGCTCGAAGTGTACGTTTAGCGGCTTTTAAAGGCGATGTCACCTTCTGCAAGTCCTTCCCGTGGGCTGTGTGGGACCCACTCAAGGAGCCAGGGCGGCCGGACACTGGACGCGCGTCCTGGGCACCATATGGCTGAGCCACTTGTGGTTTTGCTTTGTTTGTTTGAAGAGAAATCACATCTTTGACCTGTATGTACTAAGGTCTTGCCTTGTCTGTTGGAAACAGGACCCCAGAACAAGGAAAGGGAGGTGGGAGGCCGCGTGAGCAGGACCGGGGTGGGGGGAGCGCCCCACTCCCGGCCCCTCGGAGGAGGCGGCCTCGCCCCTCACGCCCGCCTCCGCCCCGCGGTCACCTGTAGGGGTTGGAGTCCACCACCTCCGGGCTCATCTTCTCGATGCGGGCCCGGCCGCCGCCTCCGTCGCCGCCCCCCAGGGCCCGCCGACTTCTCTCTCGGGCCAGTTCCCGCTCCAGCTCCTCAACCCGCCGCTGCAGCCGCTCCACAGACTCGGCCATGGCTGGGGCTCCGGCCGTCAGCGCTCCCTGCCCCGGCCGTCGCCGCCGCCGCCGCCCCACACTGACGGGGTTGCTGGCCCGTAAGGAGTATCTAAGGCGGCACCGAGCGCCCCGGCCCCTCTAGCCCAGGACCTGTTCCCAGCGCCTCACAGAAAGACACGTCTCCGCCACTCCCGCCGGCGTCCCGCGGTACCACTTCCGGTTGCAGTCATCACTCCCTCAGACACACACACACACACACACCACACCCCTTCTAACTTGTCTCCTTTGCCGGGTCCTAAGAGACCAGGCCCTGCCGAGGTCCTAAGCGTCCAGAGCGGGCGGCCGGAGCTATTGCCATGTCGAGTAGGCGGTTCAGAGAAACACCAGGAACTTTTTATTCCTGGGCTCGAGGTCCAAACGGACCCTTTTCAGAAGCGGACGCTATAGGTCTTCCGCAACAGGTGTAGAGGTGGCAGAGGCCTCTGCCTTCTTATTTGCCGGTCGCGACGGTCGCGGCTTTGCTGTCTTTAAAACTGAGGTCTCCGATTCTGAGGCTGACTGCTCGTTTAAAATCCGAACACGAGAGCGGTTCTCCAGACATTTCCCAAGCGGAGCCGGAATCACCGGGATTCAGCGGGCCTGTGCTGCTCAGCAACTGTGCCGAACTCGTGTGTGATTGGCTGGAGCCGTCTGGGCGCAGGCGGGCCTCGTCCCAGGCCACGCCCACTTGCCTATAAAGTAACCCCTCCTGGCACCGAAAGTATCTGTGGGTTCCGCGGCGGCCGTCATGGAGAACCGAGCCTCCGGCGAGCCAGAAGTCGGCGAAGTGCTGCCGCAGCACAAGTTCGACTGCAAGCCCTTGGAGGCCTACCTCAGCCAGCACTTGCCCGGCTTCGGGGCCGAGCCCGAGGCCAAGCTGACCATTGCCCAGTACAGGTATCGCCACTAGCCTCTTCCTCCAGTCGAAAGGAATCTGTGCGCCGTGTTTTTCTCCCTTTGGCCCTGGGTGGATGCCCGATGCCCCGCCGCCCCAGTTTCTTCTCCTGCAATGACACACTCTGCAGGCCGGAGCTGGCATGGCATTCGGGGAATTTCCAGCTCGTGGGCAATTACGGAAGAGACCCTAGTCACGATTCCAACTATGAGAAGGAATCTCCGTTCAGGGATGCAATTATGCACCTCGGGGATTCACTGAGGCTCGGAAGCCCTGTGGGGTATACAGAGGCCTTCGCTCAACTTTTGTTCTATAGCCATTAACTTTTTTCCCCCCTGAGAAACAAGTGTTACTCCTTTATAATTGGCCATATTCTCGGAGGCTGGCCTAATGGCCCCAGCTGGGGGGTTCGAATTCTAATGGTAGATCTTCCACTTGGCAAAGCACACCGCCACTTTGGGCTTTAGTTCTGGGTGCTGGAGGGGGGCCCTGCAGGGCCTGTAGTGTTACATAAACTCTCTGAGAGCTAGTTTCCTAATCTGTAACAAATTAAATGAAGTACAGTAGGTGAAAGGACTTAAACATGGCAACAGAACTATATACCAGTGGCATTTATCACTACCATCTTTATTCCTGATTAGAGTAAAAAAAAAAAAAAATAGTGGCAAAGGACCTGGATAAAAGAGAGTTTTGAGGTATAATTCAGGTATAAGGCACCTAGTCCCAGTAGACAATGGAGGATGAAGGAGAAGGTGGAATAAAAAAACAGCTGAGGTTTCTAGCCTAGACGTTTTGTGTTGTAACAAACTAAAACAAATCAAAGTTCAAATTTCAACGAGGCCACTTGCTGTGGAAATCTGGATGGTGATTTAACCCTTTTGAGCAACTCAAAAGGGTTAGTAATGGAGACAGTAATATGTATCTCCTAGAATTGTTGGAGAATTATCTAATTGAAAAATACCTAATTCTGAATTAGGTTGGATGTTAAAATAACCAGGATTGTGCTTGTTAAATGAAATCAGTTGTGGTGTAAATAGTACAGGCATACCTCGTTCTATTGCACGTAGCGTTATTTCACTTCACAGATGTTGTGTTTTTTACAAATTGAAGGCAAAAACCTTCCACCAGCAAAAAGATTAAAACTCACTTTTCTTGCAGTGGTCTGGAACCAAATCTGAGGTATGCCTACATAGTATATGGATAGAACTATCCCACAGAAAATACATATTTCCTTCCAGAACACATGAAAAAGTTTATGAAAATTGAAGACATGTTGGGCTACAAAGAAAGTTTCAAAAATTCTGAAGTGTCAATCTTAAAAAAAAAAAATTCAGAATATAAATACCAAAAGTTTATAAATCAACTGAAGAAAGACAGCTATCAAATACATGTTTAGAAACTAATTGATTCATGGATTTAAAAAGCCAATAATCTACAGATAATAGTTTATCGAAGTTCAGTATGGAGAAACCAATAAACCAATAAAATGTAATCTTAAAAAAGGTATAATTAATAAGAGCATCAAAAGTATAAATTGCCTAGATATTAATCTAATAAAATCTGTGCAAGACTGTCATAAAACTTTATTAGACTTTTAAAAAGAATTAAACTGACAGATGACAATGTTCATGAAAAGAAAAATTCAATAGTGCATTTTTCCCCAACTCATGTGTATAGATTCAGCACAATGGCAATAAAAAAATCTTAACTTTTTCTCTAATTTGAGAAATTACTCTTAAATTTTATGTGCAAGAGCAAAGGGCCAAGAATAGCAAAAACACTCCTGAAGATGAAAAGTAGGAAATTTGAATTAAGAAGGCATGATATTAGCACAGAAATAGACCACTAAAATCAGAGGGTCCACGAAAATGACCTACATATTTATAGAATTTTGATATATGGCAATGCTGGCATCAAGAATCAGTGTGTGTACAATGGAATACTATGCTGCTGTAAAAAAGAAACAACTCTTACCATTTGCAACAGCACAGATGGACCTGGAGAGCATTATGCTAAAAGAGATAAGCCAGTCGGAGAAAGATAAACATAATATGATCTCACTCACTTGTGGAATATAATGAACAACATAAACTGATGAACAAAAATAGATCCAGAGATATAGAAACATCAAACAGACCGTCAACCCTCAGAGGGAAGGTAGGGGAGAGGGGTAAGAGATCAACCAATGTCTTGTATGCATGCATATAAGCATAACCAATGGACACAGTAGTGGGGGTGAGGGCAAGTGCTGGGGGGTGGGAGTAGCTGGGGAGAGGTCAAATGGGGGAAAAAGGAGACAAATGTAATACTTCAAACAATAAAGAATTTAATTTTTTTAAAAAAGAATCTGTGTGTAGAGAGGACTTTTCAATAAATTACATAGGTATAATTGTTATATGTATGAAAATATTGAAATGAGACCTTTTCATTACCTCACAAAGTTCCAGGTGAATTCGCGTTAAAGGTAAAACTAAAACCATTTGGAAGACATATAGGAGATAATTGTTGACTTTGGAGTAGAGAATAAATTCTTTAAAAAGACAAAAGTCTCCTTAAAGAAAGTGAAATTAAAAAGAAATGTTTGCAATATATACATATAATGGTTAAAAGGTTAATAAACAGAATGTATAAAGAACTCCAATAGCCCAACAGAAAAACGGTTAACAAACTGGAAGATGCTTGAGATCACTGCACCTCGAGTATTCAGTGAAAGGCAAATTGAAACAATGACATACCATTTCAGACCTCCATATTGCCTTTTTTAAAAATTTGACAATTTCAAACAAGTGGCTGGGTTATGGGGCAACAGGGACTCATATCCACAGTTGGTAGGAATTCGAATTAACTACTTTGGAAAACAATTTGATATGATCTTTTAAAGATTAAAATGGAAAAATAGACATGCCTCAAGACACAGCAATTCTTTTCCTAGAGGTAATCTACAAAAATGTTCATCGCACTGTTTGTAATGGCAGAAATAAAGGAAATGACACCGTTCATCAGTAGCAGACTGGATGAATAAATTATATATATGATGGAATACTATACAGTGAAAATAATTCAGCTGCAGATATGTACAACAACACAGAATTTAAAAAATGGACAAATAAGCAGTATCTTGTTTAAGGGCATAAACTTCAAAGGAAAGATAAATTTAATAATCAGGACAGTAGTTACTCTGAGGGGAGGGGCACACAGGGCTTCAGAGATTGCCGGGGTCCAACCCCAGCAGGTCCAGGGGTCCCCAAAGGTGTGGATGGAGTCGGCGAAGAAGGAATGACACAGAGACAGCGTTCAGTTGATCAGCAGCCTAGCCAGGATCTCTAGCCAGGATCTCCAGCCAAGTTCTGGTCTGGATCTCCAGCCAAGTTCTGGTCTGGATCTCCAGCCAAGTTCTGCTTAGGATCTCCAGCCAGGTTCTGTGTCCATGTTCTCTTGCTAGGTTCTCCAGCCAGGTTCTGTCCAGGTTCTCCAGCCAGGTTCAAGTCAGGTTCTCTTGCCAATTTCTGTAGTCAGGTTCAGTCCAGGATCTTTTGCCATGTTCTCTCGCTAGGTTCTGTCTCTAGGTTCTGAGGCCAGTTTCTGTCCAGGATCTTTTGCCATGTTCTCTCCAGCGAAGTTCTTCTGTCTCTAGAGAACGTTCTTTGTAGGTTCTGTCTCTCTTGGTTCCGTATTCTAAGTTCTGTCTCTTGCTGTCTTACTACATCTGTATTTATACCAGTTGATTCAATCCTACCAATCTCTATTACAAAGGTTAGGGCGTTTCTTATCTCCATTCCAGGGAGTAAAGATTATGTAGCTTAAGCATGATTGTTCGTAGTTAAAGTGATTAATTACCCACCTGGCACTAGTTAAGAGGTTTTATTCCCTCCCTAACTTCAGGGGAAAATCCCTACCTGGGGAAACAACCTTTCTCAGAGACCTTGGTTAAAACACATAGTGCCAAGAAGGTGAGCAAACATTTTAAGAACAGTATGCCATATATGCTAGGTCCCTTGAAACAGCAAGGATGGACTGGCTCCTGGCAAGAGATAACAGTAATTTTCTTAAACTGGGTACTGAGAACACTGGTGTTTGCTGTGTTATTTACACTTTACAAATTTTGTGACTTCTTTTTTATCTATGCAAATTTGATTTTAGAATTTGTGAAAATAAATCATATTGGAAATACAAAATATTTAGAATTAAATATTGAAAGCATTTGATAGCTTGATACAACAAAAGCTGTGTTTTTCAGCTACGTGTTTAATATGTGCATGGCACTGCTCCAAACATTGGGAATATAACAAAAAATCTTGCCTTCTTGGAATTCCCCCTCTATTTGAAGAATACAAACAATAAATAAATATTACAGTGTAGAAGAAGGTGATATGTACTATGGAGAGAAATAAAGGGGAATAGGAAATGTTTGGGAGAGGGGAACAGGAAGGCCTCATTTGAGAAGGTGGCATTCAGCAAAGACTTGAAGGAGATGAGGATATGAGCCATGCAGTTATCTGGGGGGAGAACATTCTAGGCGGGGGGGGGGGGGGGGGGGACAGCAAGCGCAAAGGTTCTTAAGGGGGAGTGTGCCCAGTGTGTTGAAGGAATACAAGCCAATGTGACCAGAGTGGTGGAAACAAGGAAAACAATGGCCTCTTGGCCATTATAAGGACTTTGGCTTTTACTTTGAATTGAAATGGGGAGAAATTAGGCTTTAGTGGGCAGAGGAGGGACTGAGTTCTCTTTTTAAAGTCTCTTTGCCTGTTGTGTTTGATTGACAGGAACAAAGTCAAGGAGACCAGTTTGGAGTATACTGCAATGGTCCAGTTGAGAAATATTAGTGGCATAGACCAGGATGGTAGTGTAGAATAGGCGCAAGTGGTCATAATCTGGGTTTATTGGAAAGGATTTACTGACTGATCAAATGTGGGAGATGAAAGAAAAAGAGGCAACTAGTATTCCATTTTGTCTTGGTAACTGGAAGGATGGAGTTACCATAAAATAAAATAGAGGTGATTATAGAGAAGCAGATTTGAGG